CGGGGGGTTCCGAAGGGGACCAGGAACGGACTGGCTCCTACGTACTTAAGCAAGGCCTGTTAATGAGATGGGACAGTTTGTCCCGGCGGCACGCGATTGTGGTGCCTTCTGCTGTGAGGGGGAAAGTTGTCTTGGCCGCACACGAACGCCTCTTGCATTTGGGAGTAAACAAAACGCTTGCCCTGCTTCAGCGTGACTATTATTGGCCGGGGATGGGGAGTGACGTGGTGAATATTCTGAAGGGATGTGTTGAGTGCGCCAGACGGAAACCACCGCCCGTGGCAGCTAATCCACCGCTGCAATCTATTCAGGTCTCGCGTACTAACGAGCTCGTTGCGCTCGATATTCTGGGGCCTTTTCCAGTCACGCCTAGGGGTAATAAGTACCTGTTGGTGGGGGTCGAATATTTTACCCGGTGGCCTATGGCGTGGCCACTCGCCAACCAGTCGGCGGCGGCTGTGACGGACGCCTTTGTCCAGGGCTACGTCCTGGACAAGGGGGCTCCCGAACGCTTGCTGACCGACCAAGGGAAAACATTTTCAAGTAAATTGCTGCAAGAGGTGTGCGACCTGTTGGGTACTAAGAAGGTGCGTACCTCCCCGTACCACCCGCAGACGGACGGGATGGTGGAGAGACTCCACAGGACATTGACTTCTATGCTGTGCCAGCAGGTGTGTGAGGCACATGTTGATTGGGACCTGCAGGTCCCTGGGGTCCTCGCCGCGTATAGAATGGCCCCCCATGCAGCTACGGGATTTTCCCCGTTCTATCTGATGTACGGTCGGGAAGCCGACCCGCCCATGGAAACGCAGCTGGGCCTGCCCGCACCACGAACTAATTCGAAATTGGCAGAGCATATTAAATTTAATATTCATAAGCTGACGGAGGCAAGGGAGGCCGCACGGCTTAATTCGCGGGCTCGCCAAATTGCAAACGAGCGGTTGCGTGCACGGAAGGTGTCCGTGCACAACTGGGAACCAGGTGACAGGGCCTGGCTGCATTGCCCTCAGGCACCTTTGGCTACGTCGCCTAAATTGTTGAAGCCATGGCGGGGACCCGTGGAGGTCATGCGGGTTGCACGCCCCCAGTGCGTTCAGATAAAATGGGGAAAGCGCCATTGGTACGTCCATCCCTTCCGACTGAAACCGTTCTCGCCTCCATATGGCCTCCCCTTGTGTCGTGAGGGCCGAGCATGTGACGTGACCGACGACCCTAAGGGGGAAATGTCTTTGCCTGATCCTCACATGTCTCCGCCTGATCCGCTCCCAGGTGTCTTGGAACTGACAGCTGCCGACCACCGGCGGCCGGATCTGCGCGGCGGGGCCGGTCCTTCCAGGCCCGATCCGCGCCGTCTAGAGCTGCCGGAGCCACCGGACGGTCGTCAGCGTCCCGTCCCATACGACGGACCGGCCAGACGGACTCGCGCTAGATCGCGCTACTTTTTATGACCTACCACGTGAGGAGTCGAGGCAGCCGGAGCGCCTCGTCACTGCGTTTAGTCACAGGGACACTTAGCGCGTTCGTTTTCTGGAGTTCGCTTTTATTGTGTTGTTCGTCGGGCTGTACATTGCTTCTTATTTAAGTGTTGCTGTTGTGTTGTTGTTGTTGCGTTACGGGGCACACTGGGGGGTGGGGTTTTTTTTATTGCGTTGACGTTGGGTTGTGTTGTTGGTTAGCAGCCGGGCCGGCTGCGAGCTATGTGGGAGGGGGTGATGTAGTGGTGATACGCGCTGGGGTAGGGATCGTGTGCCAGCGCGTAGTGATTGGCTGTGTATGTGGTGACGCGCGCTGACGGTGGAGGATCAGGGGTCAGCGCGGGGTCGTGGGTTACGTGGTGCTGATTGGCTGTGTGCCGGTGACGCGCTGAGAGGGAGTGATCGGGTGGCAGCGCGGTGTGATTGGTTGAGTAGTGTTAACACGCGCTGGGGAAAACGGATCGTAGAGATAGCGCGTCGTCATTGGTTAACTAAGGAGCGATGCTCACGTCGACGTCCGCATCAGCTCCGTCTCCCGTGAGCAGGGGCTATAAAAGGGGATGCACACAGGCGTAAAAGCAGTATGTAACCAGCGAAGAATGAAGACGGGGATGAAGAGATAGGGCCCTGCGGTACCTAGTCCCGCTGTCCTAACGGGACCGGGACTCTGTGTAACCCAGAGGCGAATGCATTGTGTGTAGCCATAGGCATAGGGTCTACACGAGTCGAATGCATGGTGTGCAGCCAGAGGCATAGGGTCTACACGAGTCAAGTGCATTGTGTGTAGCCAGAGGCATAGAGTCTACACGAGTTAAGTGGAGTGTATGGTCAAAAGAATAGAGACCACACGTTGTATTGTGACACGTCAAGATTTAATAAAAGTGTGTTACCCGTCAAGAAGTTCCTGCCGTCATTTCCAATACTTCATGAGGACGGCTGCTTGCGTTGTGGTCGAAACGTCGTGAGAATTATTTTATTTTTATTTTTATTACTTTATTATTTCCATTCTACGTGACTTTACCGAAAGAACCAAGAAGATGAATCCCTGCAGTCACGAAAGCTTTAAATCGAAAAAGTAATCGTCCTATGCAAAGACTCGCTCCCTGCCATAGGAATGTGCAATTTCCACCATGTTCTCTCATGGGCTGTAAATGGGAACTGACCAGCACCTCATTACTAGCACCACATCTCATGCAGAGAGAGTCCTGACCTATACCCATCTGGCAGTTCAGCATTTGTTTAAGCAAGCCTGACTGCTGATGAGATACTGTGCGTCATAACTGGTCCAGAGTTTTGCTTGTAATTATACCGATGTTGCAAAAAAAATGCATACTCCCAGAAGGCTGTGGGTGGCCGGTGGGATGTGTACAAATATTTGATAATAACTGACACCTTTTTTTTTTACAAGGAGTCATATTTACATAGACCACAATACCTGCAGTCATAATGCAAACAAAAAACATAACTCTGATAATGTGCACTGTCCTTGAAGTTGATTGGTCCACACCCGAGACAGACAAAAGGTGTCAGTTTTGTTGCCAGATAGAAGGGTAAAAACCGATTATATTTTTACTGGCAAATGAGGTTCCAATGGTGTAAATGCTTACCCCGAGCTCTCATACTCTGATGGTGCATTGTCTTTGAGTTGTGCGCCTTTTGGCGTCATCTGGCCCAACCCATGTGAGACTAGGCTCTAAGGAAAGCTGTCTCGGGTGTGGACCAATCAACTTCAAGGACAGTGCACATGATCAGAGTTATGTTTTTTGTTTGCATTATGACTGCAGGTATTGTGGTCTATGTAAACATGACTCCTTGTAAAAAAAGAAAGGTGTCAGTTTTGTTGCCAGATAGAAGGGTAAAAAACAATTATATTTTTACTGGCAAATGAGGTTCCAATGGTGTAAATACCCTCATTTTGTTTGCAGAAAATACCATTCCAGGTGAAGTAAGTGTTGGTAAGGCAGTGCCTAACCAGAGTAGGAGCATCAGGGTTCAGTCAATGGACTAAGTCTTCAATTATTGCTATGGTGTCAGGTACCGGAACCTTGGTGAACAGAGAAACCACATCAAAGCTGACGAGACAATCATCTGGGGACAGTGAAATGTCCTTGATTAGAGAGACCAATTGAGCTGAGTTATATACTGCTGAGTCTTGCCAGTGAAAGGAAGCAAGGTATCAGAAAGAAAACGCGCCAGTTTGTAGGTAGGTGAGTTGATCGTGGACACGATGGGCCGAAGTGGAGTGCCTTCTTTATGGATCTTAGGAAGACCATAGAATCTGGGTGGTCTCGCAGCCGAAGGCTTTAGGGAGAGCCATTTGACTGGTTCGATTACAGAAATTGAACTGGTAATGATATTGTTGGTTTTTGTAGTCAGGCTGTTACTAGGATCTTTATTGATTTTGGAGTAGCTACCATCATTGAGAAGGTCCTGGATTTTGTTGTATGTGGTTTTTATCCATGATAACAGTGGCATTGCCCTTGTCGGCCGAGAGGATGACTATGTCATCCCTCTTTTTCAAATTTGCGAGTTCAGACCGCTCGTCTTTGCTGATGTTACTAATGGGTTTCTTAACATTTTTAAGGATGGTGGCAATTTCAGCTCTAGCAACGTTTGTCGGGATGTGTCCCAAGCCTTTGAGGGCTACGTCGACCTGGGAGATTATATCCTCCACTGGGATATGTTTAGGGGTAACTGCGAAATTCAATATTTTTGTTGTGCCCGTATTGAAACGGATGCATGCCGGTGTGGACCTGAAAACTCAATTTCCCTGTGACAAAGAACACGGAGTCATAAACCCCACGATGGGTTGACAGCTATGTAGTTGCGATTCATCAACCATCTGTGTTATCACCGCACGTGTCAAATGATGATGTGTGATGATTATATCACTGTGTAACAATAAAAACACGTTTTTTGTTCCTGGGTAGTGTTATTTTATAATTGCATATGCCTCAAAAGTACAGAAAATGGCTATTATTCCCCAAAAACTTTGCTTTTGTGACCAGGACAGTTATATTTTGAAATGTACATATTTTCAATGAGAAAACGTGTGCATTTGTGTCATTCCTTCACATAAAGTCCTCCCCTCCCCACCCAGCCCCTCCCCACCCAGCCCACCTTCCCCAACCAGCCCCTCCCCACCCTCCCCACCCAGCCCCTCCCCACCCAGCCCCTCCCCACCTAGCCCCTCCCTCCCCACCCAGCCCCTACCCACCCTCCCCTCTCCACCCAGCCCCTCCCCTCCCCACCTAGCCCCTCCCACCCAACCCCTCCCCACCCAGCCCACCCTCCCCACCTAGCCCCTCCCTCCCCACCCAGCCCCTCCCCACCCAGCCCCTCCCTCCCCACCCTCTTCTCTCCACCCAGCCCACCCTCCCCAACCAGCCCCTCCCCACCCCCCCTCCCCACCCAGCCCCTCCCCACCCAGCCCCTCCCCACCCTCCCCACCCAGCCCCTCCCCACCCTCCCCTCTCCACCCAGCCTCACCCCTCCCATGTTTGGAATTCACGACGTACGGACGGACACAACAATCCCCTGTGGGGCTGGTGTAACCAGGAGGTTCCTACCAGTAACATTGTTGTTGTCGTGCAAATTGGCAGTGGTGCCTGACTCGGCTGAATCTGCAGCCCGGCAGCGGCAGAGCAGAGGCAGCGAGAGGCCTCGTCGCTGCTGCTATTCACTCGCTTATAGTTCTGCCGTGTTCACTACATCTCTGCTGTGTTCACTATCATCTCTGCCGTGTTTACTACATCTCTGCTGTGTTCACTACATCTCTGTGTTCACTACATCTCTGCTGTGTTCACTACATCTCTGCTGTGTTCACTACATCTCTGCCGTGTTCACTACATCTCTGCAGTGTTCACTACATCTCTGCCGTGTTCACTACATCGTATTCACACGCAAGTATTTCTATACACACATCCCTATTTCTATATATATAATACACATACATCTCTATTTCTATATATATAATACACATACATCTCTATTTCTATACATATAATACACATACATCTCTACTTCTATATACACACAAACATCTCATCCTCGCAGCAAGTCCCGTGGCCCGCGATTTGTGTGAATTCGCCGAGCCGGCGTTGTCGTAAAAGGTGAGTTAAGTGATTAATAAACCCCCCACTTCGTGTAAATAGAGATTATATACAGTATTATATTTATTATATTATATATCCCAACGATTGTCACTCCACTGCTGGATGAGTGCCGGGAGATTCTCCTCCACCAACCCACACGCCGCTTGCTGCTGCTGCTGCTGATCGTTGTGGAGTTACAGTGTCCATACTTCACCACGCTGGTCTCGCGTCTTCACGAGGGTCCACCACGTGGTCTTTCACCTACAGTATGTGTACAGTATAACTGGCTTTCGCGTACAGTACACGCACCGTATAACCCATTCACGTACAGTATAGAACAGTATAACTCTTTTACGTACAGTATATGTACAGTGTAACCGCCTTTCGCATACAGTACACGTACAGTATACTTGTCATTCGTGTACAGTATAGTACAGTATAACTCTTTCACGTACAGTGTACGGAAGTTGTACTGTCTTTCGCGTACAGTATACATATAGTATACTGTTTTCGCGTACAGTATACATACAATATAATATACTGTTTTCTACGTACAGTATAACTGTCTTTCATATACAGTATACGTACGGTACACAGTGCACGCACAGTGTAACTACGCACAGTACGTGTACTGTACGTGAAAGACAGTATACAGCATAACTGTTCGTATACTGCACGCAAAGACAGTATACTGTATAACTGTACGTGAAAGACAGTACAACTGTACGTGTACTGTACGTGGAAGACCCCGTGGTCGGTTGCCGGCAGTCCCGACGATTGCCACTCCACTGCTGGATGAGGGCCGGGAGATTCTCCGTCTCCTCCCCACGCCGCTGCTGATCACTTCGTCCATACTTCACCACTTTAGGTCGGTGTTGTTGTTTGACTTGCATCCCACTGGGATTTTTGCACACAGCGTTGGTGTGTAACGGTGTTTTTTCTGCAATATTTTGCTGTCTTTTCTTGGATTTTCTGTTTGCACAAAGTCACATAGTCACTTTAAGATGTTTTTTGTTCATGTTTTGGTTTTTTGTTTGTTGCGGTTGCACCCGATTCAAGAGCCGAATGGCTCACAGGGCTCTATACCTAATCAATGAACTTGAACTTGTTGGAGGAAGACGGTGACGCACGTGGACAGGGTGGTCCACATGTCTTGTGACCCCCCCCCTTCCCCCCCTTCCTCAATTACATTATCTATAACTATATATTTTATATTCTTGGTTCTTTCGGTAAAGTCACGTAGAAGGGAAATAATAAAATGATATGAATATGAAACAAAAAAAATTCTCACGACGTTTCGACTGCAACACAAGCAATCATCATAGTTATTGTTTTTGTGATCTTTACAGGAAATATTCAGACGCGTTGCACGATACGGTAAGGTATCGTGTTCGTATGTAAGAGGCCAGAATAACGAGAGGAAATTGAACTCTTTGGTTTTTTCGGTAAACAAATAAATTAAATGACGACGTTTCGAAGGCAACACAAGCCTCCGTCTTCAGGTGGCACCCGTCACAACAAAAATCACTGGATCAAATCACGTGATTTGATCCGTCACAGTGATTTGATCCGTCACAGCAAAAATCACTGGATCAAGATACAGTAATTTGATCCAGTGATTTTTGCTGTGACGGTGCCACCTGAAAGACGGACGGAGGCTTGTGTTGCCTTCGAAACGTCGTCATTTAATTTATACTCTTAGTTTTTTCGGTAAAGTCACGTAGGTAAAAAATTAAATTAAAATTAATAAAAAAATAATAATAAAATAAATATAAAAAATGCAATTAAAATTAATAAAATAAAATAATACATTTTTTATTTATTTCATTTTTTACCTACGTGACTTTACCGAAAAAACGAAGAGTATGAATCCTTGCAGTCACGAAAGCTTCAAATCTAGAAGTCATTTAATTTATTTGTTTTTCTGTATGGATTCTTGCAGTCACGAAAGCTTCATTGGTTTCAAATGGCTCGTAGATTTCCACTCGTCTTTGCATTATTAGTCTCGCGATGGGCCACATCTGCGTTCAAGCTACGTATGATAATTACGTTACTTTAATGACTCTCCACGTGTTATTGGTAAGAATCTGCGGTTCGTCGCACTCGGATTATATTATTGATCTTTGTTATTTTACGTGTGCTCACGATGTTTTGTTGTGTATGCCTGTAAAAGTCTTCCTGCTGAAATAAGTGTTGGCTTGAATTTTCTTTTTTCTAAAACGGCAGCCCCTGACCCAGTGGTAAAAACTCTACATTTAAATGGCCGGGGTCAGTTTATCCATGGGGCAATCACTGTTTTAACTTGCCATAAGGCGCTGCTAATTTTGATCAACCCTGGAGGGGGAAGGTGAGTCGACACCTGAACTGGAATTGAGTTTGTACTTAACTGCTCTTGCACTGTGTAAAGGCAACAAACATGTTCATTTGGGACAGATTGTATGTCCATGGTAGTGGACAAATGTTCTTTGTAGAAACTATAGATTCCAATTCCCTGAATTTTCAATTATTGCTACAGCCACAAAATATGGCGTGTGCGGTGGCCACCCCGTTGCTGGAGCCAAGCGGGGACTTCCCGGCGTGGCTGGAGGCGCAGGGCGTGAACAAGGAGGTGGCCCGGGCCATGGACTCGGAGCTGGGCATCCGGGACTACGGGGTCCTGAGCGCCTGCGTCGGGGACGGCCTCGTGCGTGCCGAGCTGCTGGCCACGGCGCGCGACCGCCTGCCCTTCGGCTTCTACGCCGTGCTGCGGCAGGTGGTGAAGGCCCTGCAGGGCGCCGAGCCCCATGACGCTGGGACGCCGCGCTGGGACGATGCCACCGCCATCAAGGCCTCCCCTGGCGACGTGACGCTGGGAGGCCTGATGGACGTGCTGCTCGCCCTGTTCAGCGGCTTGAGCCGCGAGCTGCTGATGTCCGTGCAACGACTCGGAGCCATGGACGGTCTTAAGTATGAAGTGCCTTCTCCTTCAGCCGGTGATGCAGTCGGTAATGAAATTATGACGGCCGAAATGGATCGTTCAATGGAGAATGGTAATTGATATTTAATAGTATTAAATAATATATCTAGCTGATTGACACCATGGATAGCGCACTAAATTCACAATATTAGTTTTGATTAACCTGAATGTGTAATTTGCACCACTGACACAGCAGCACTGATGGAGATGATTCCACAATTACACCCAAGCAGGGAGACGCTTGAGTCAGATTCACTTCCTGCCCACATGACTGAAATGCATTGCCCTGGTGGTTCACCCCATTGTTGGTGGTGGAGCCCGCAGCTTGATTTATCGACATATCAGACAGAATGAAAATATCTGTCAATGCATGAATCGTATATTTTCTACTTGTGAATCAAAAGTGACCATGTCCCTTAATTTCAGGTGAGATCGAAGAAACGCCACCTCCAGATGTGGATGACACTCAACCCAACCTGCCAGTGGATCGGATTAAAATGGAGCCATTCGGAGGTAACATCTTGTCAATGTAGAGTGTTAAGTGGTCCAGTTCAGTAAGGGGGATAACTCAGCTTATTCAAATATCTCGAATGGGCGACCTCTAGATTCCAAGTTTAGTGTTCTTGATGAGCTCAGATACATGTTATTGCTTCTATCGTTAATCATTCATCACTTCTCAGTTCAAATGAACACTTTGTTGAAAATTATTTCACTAATATAAGCCCTCTGTGCTTGTAGATGCTGCTGAATTTACTGACAATGCAATGCTTCCTCGGACATCGGAGCATGGTTCCATGATGTGTATTTCTAATCCGATCTTTGGTAAGTGGCCCTGTTTTACCAGTATATATTGTAAAGGTATAAATCCAGACCTACAACTTCATATTGTTTTTAAATTATTTGTTTTTAATCATTTATATGTTTGCATTATTTTCATGGGTGTGTACGTGTCCAATGAACAGAATATATAACACATTTTTCAAGGCACAGTTTTATATTTGAAGTCTGTCTAGAATTGTCTTAATTTAAAATATATTTACTGCAACTAAAAAAATAGGTCAAAAGGTCATCACGGCCAATAAAATCGCTGCCACTATATGTGGACATCTAATTTTTGTTCGGTATTTCAGCTGTTGCACAATGACACCCAACCTCCACGTTCTATTCTGACAATCTCATCATCACCACCTTCATTTCATTTTGTCTTATCTTTAGTTGTCAAGCCTTCAGGTACCTACTCAAATGCCAGTGCTTATTTTACTTGATAAAGCACAAACGTTCAATCAGAATGCCCACAACTTTACAAAAAAACCTCTTGTTCAAAATCATGCTCTCCCTTAGATAAAGTTTCATTGGAGTCTCACGCCACTCTCGCGTTCAAAGTTGTGAACTCGCAGCAGATCGAGGACGAGGGCTGTACGCTTGCTGTCGAGACGGCCCCTGCTCTGTGGGCACACGGGGCACAGGACGCCATTCAAAACGAAGAAGCAGCCTCCACCTGTGCACGTGAGTACGTGTCACTGCCACCAACGGAGGGGTGCTCCTTCGAGCCGTCAGTGGCGAGCCGAAATGGGTTCCTCCCGGCAGCCGTTGCACGAAGTCTGACCATCGGAGGGAGTGGCTCCTACGAGCCGGGCGTGTGGTTTGCCACCGCCGAGCACTCGAGGAAGAATACAAACCTGTCGCCGGGACGCGTAGTCCAGAAACCTTACCGCTGCGAAGTATGCGGGCACTGCTTCTCGCAGGGCGGGCACCTGAAGATCCACCTGCGTACACACACAGGGGAGAAGCCCTACCGCTGCAAGGTGTGCGGCCAGACCTTTTCGCAGCAGTGCAGCCTCAAACGGCACCATCGCAAGCACACGGGCGAGCGTCCGCACCGCTGCGGGGAGTGCGGGCGCGGGTTCTCGCAGCCCAACGACCTGCGGGCGCACGAGCGCACGCACACGGGCGAGAAGCCGTACGGCTGCCAGGTGTGCGGCCAGGCGTTCTCGCGGTCCTCTAGCATGAAGATTCACATGCGCACACACACGGGCGAGAAGCCCTACCGCTGCGACGTGTGCGGACAAGCCTTCACGCGTGCGTTCAGCCTGCGCTTCCACCAGCGTACGCACGGAGGGTCGAGCGCAGCGCCGCTGCCACCACCACCGCCGCCTCAGATGGGGAGTTTTGTTGATGGTGCCACAGACGTTTTTACACGCTCCAGGCCAGCGACCCGCTATGAATGAGGCATATTGTCACACACAAAAAATTTGTTTTGGTGTATTTTAAGAGCTTTTGAGCACTCGTTAGTTACTTGATACAGCTATCGTGCTGTGACGGTTCCACCTGAAGATGGAAGCTTGTGTTACCTCCGAAACGTCGTGATTTTTTATTTTATTTTAATTTTACTTTCATTAATTTTAATGTTTTACTTACGTGACTTTACCGAAAAAATCTAAGAATATGAATACTCGTTAGTTTGTTTATTTAAAAAAAAGTAAAGGTGCAATTACTTGCCCATGCCACTGCAGATGGGAGGACCTCTTCATGGACAGAGCTCTAGACATGCCCAATAGATGGTGTTTTGGCCAATTATTTCCTGCTAGCCTGATGCCTTGGAAGATGTGTGAGTACTTACACTTTACCGCTGCACTTGTATGACCTGCCAATCGACTAACTGGTGTACCCATTTATACAGGGGGGGAGGGGGGATTAATAAACTTGCACAAACGGCTGCACTGTGAGATCGGATCGAACCGGTGAGCTCGAGGTTGAAACTGAGTGTGCTGATACGCCATGGCAGCATCCTGTTTATGCTTATTTTAAAATGTGTGTTCATATGGACAACACAACACAGATGTAAAGCACAACGCTCTGGAACCACCCACACTCTTCACACACGTGACACGCTTGGATGAATCCATGCCTGCTCATGATGCCCTAAAAGCTAGCCATTGACATAAAGCTCCAAATTGTACCATTAATGTGAGATCAGGCAGTTGTCCCTTGCCAACCTGGTGGGGAGACCTTGCAGTCACCCTTATTTATCCTGGATATATAAAATTGCATAAATGACTCACTTACCATGTGCGAGGTTGTTGCAGACCAACGCAATGGACCCTAGTCCGTCCAAGAAAATGAACTGACTTTTAGCCGGGTGGTAGTGGTGCATGCATGTAGGTCTGCGTTGTGGAGTCGACGGTTGGTGGATCTTCCAATGGTTTTGAAACTCTCTTCTCGTGCGCGTCAAGGTGCCATACCCTGGCATGCCAGAAGAAGGCTATACAGCAGAATGTGGAGACTGTGTATGGGATCGAGCGTTGCCCCCTTTGCTATGTGCGTTTTCTGAAGGTTGCTCATTTCCTCCCAAATGTAATTACTTAATTGGCCGCCTCGCTACCTTCCCTTCTTCTCCATGGTTCCTTTTCGCACCTGCGAGGCATTCTCTCTGTTCAAAAGTGAACGAATACTGCGTGGGACGTTACAAGTTGATATAAATCATTATGTGAACGTCATGCAGTGGTGGTGCTAGCCCATTGGGGTCCTGTAGCAGAAGTTCTATTAGGGGGTCCTCCTTTCAGTGTTTTAAATGTGAATGAGATAAGTAATTTCGACACAAATGGAGATGTAGTGAGATGGGAGAAATGTCAACAAAACTAGAGATGTTAAATGAGAGATGGAGACAATTCGGGATGAGAGATTAATTGGCCTTTTAATGTTAAATAGCTTGTTAGGTTTATCTTGGTTTGAATTTGAGCTTAAATTTCATGTATCTATATGATTTCATGAAGCTGTGGCCCTTTGAGCTTCTTGGGACCCGAGACTTATGCTTGGTTTGCTCGAGCCTTATTCTTTCGAGGTCATTGGTGGTCGTCATATGCATTTGTAATCGCGTGAAGGTTGTTTGTAAATTGTACAAAATAAAAATTCACGGTCTCTTGTCAATCCACTGCTACGTTGGTCATCATAGTTGACAGCACTTGTCAGTGCAAGTTTGTGGTGGTGTGGGGAGGGGAGAGTGTGGAAGAACCAGTGCAGATATCGGTCACCACTGATGTTAACCGTAGTTTGGAATCGAACTCGGATCACCGTCTTCACACCAAATTGCACTAACCGCTTGCATCACCGCTCCACTCTCAAATGAGTGTAGTATTGGTCAAGCTTCGTTGAAATGAAAAAAGCGATCGGAAGAGATTCGAAAATCCATGTGGTCACCTCGCCAAACATTAACCTCAAAATGTGCTTTGCTTTCAGTTCGGATGCAATTTAGGTGCAATGAGATTGATTTCAGTCACATGATTAATTTATATTGGTTCTTTCGGTAAGTCACGTAGAAGGGAAATCATATAAATATAAAACAATAATAATTCTCACGACGTTTCGACTGCAACACAAGCAATCATCATCAGGTGTGAAATCCACAGATTTCACATCATCAGGTGTGAAATTTTCTTGCTATGGATTTCACACCTGATGACGATTGCTTGTGTTGCAGTCGAAACGTGAGAATTATTAATGTTTTATATTCTATTATTTCCCTTCTACGTGACTTTATTATTTCCCTTCTACGTGACTTTACCGAAAGAACCAAGAATATGAATCCCTGCAGTCACGAAAGCTTTAAATCAAAAGTGATTAATTTAGTCAAGAGAGTTTTGTTGCTTTGACAACCCTTTATTTAAAACCAAGACAACAGTTATTAAAATATTAAAGTCGAGTTTACATCGATGAGCCCATGTATATTTTTTAAAGCAAGGTTTTATTTAAAACAGACATTAATACGCAAGGGAAACAAAAAAAATGTTAGGGGTCAATTATTAAGAAAATAAGAATAGGCTTCACCTTTTCTGGAAATAAAACGGGATATGTGAAGATGGTCAAGCACCAAATAGAATTCCTTTTGCAAGCCTTCATCAGTGTGAGACAAGACCATGAAGAAAGCTGCCTCTGCTGTAGTTAATGCAGAAATGATTCCTTGCAAAAGTTTTATATTTGATGTTTGAATATCTGAAACACCTACACCATTGGAACCTCATTTGCCAGTAGCAAAATATGATAATTGTTTTTTAAACCTTTTATCTGGCAACAAAACTGACACCTTTTTTACAAGGAGTCATGTTTGCATTGACCTCAATACCTGCAGTCGGAATTCAAACAAAAAAACATAACTCTGATAATGTAACATACTTGGACAGTGTATACATTATCAGAGTTATGTTTTTTTGTTTGCATTCCGACCGCAGGTATTGTGGTCAATGCAAACATGACTCCTTGTAATAAAGGTGTCAGTTTTGTTGCCAGATAAAAGGGTAAAAAAAAAACAATGATCAATTATCATCTGAAACACCTGTTTCATTGCCAGAAAGGGTTCAAACCTCTTATTTTTGTGACTGCCAAAAAGGGGTCATTAATTTGGCAGGGGGTGTGGCCTGGTGGGGTTATGGTGGGGGCAGACCCCCGTGTGCAAACTGTTCACCGCGGTCCCTAACCCTGCAATCTGCCGTTGGGAGGAAGCGGAGTTAGCTCCGCGTACGAGGGGAGAAGCTTCACTTGCGTTTGGAGTCCTCGGTCCTCTCTTCGTCTTCCTCCTCCTCTTCTTCCTCCTCATCCTTTCCGCCTGTACACGGAGACGCTTTCGTCGATTCGCTGTCATCTCCAGGGCGAGCCTCGTGCGCGGGGAGCGGTGGCGCAGTGGTCAGCGCGCCGAACCCATCCGGAGCAGCAGCAGCAGCAGGAGGACCCGGGTTCGATTTCTCGCTCACGGCCAAAAAAAACCGGTGACGATTGTCCTCCCCCGTAGGTCTACTCGGCCTCAAACGAGCACTGTCTGGTGCGGTGTGCGGTCAACATCGTTACTGGGGGAGACAAAGGCGGCCGGTCGTGGTGGTGCTGGTCACCCCCCCCCCACCTCGTGTGCCACGGTGCCGGCCTTCATAGGCGGTGCTCGCTGACAACCACTTGGCCCCCAACAAGGATTCATACTCTGAGGTTCTTTCGGTAAAGTCACGTAGGTAAAAAAATGATAATTATAAAAATAATAATAAATAAAAATAAATAAATTGAATCATTTGATTAAAATAATAAAAATTAATAAATGAAAATAACTAAATAAAATCATTTAATTTAGTTATTTTCATTTATTAATTTTATTTTAATTAAAATAAATGAAAATGCATTTTATAATTTAATTGATTTTTTTTGAATTATTTTTATTAAATCATTTTATTTAGTTATTTTCATTTATTTTATTAGTATTTTTTACCTACGTGCCTTTACCGAAAGAACCTAAGAGCATGATTCCTTGCAGTCATAAAAGCTTCAAATCTAGAACCCAACAAGTCTCACATAGTTGCTTGTTCCATAGTCGATGGTGATGCTGATTTGTTTACATTACACAACACACACCCCCTCTCGGATGGTCGGTTAAATGGGGAACCACTTTGTGTGTGGGCGTCAGCGGTGGTTGGTGTTGTTGCTGGTTACGTACGGTGCGAAAGAAGTTCGACCACACGTAACATAGATGCTTTCAAACAGGTACCGTGCTCATCCGTTACCTTTCAACCCATACGGTTTATACCCCGTAATTTTTGTGCAGGTAAATTGAGTTTTTCAGGTCCATACGGCCTACAGCCGTTTCAATACTGGCAAACATTTGTTGATCTATTTGTGTTTCTCCCTTGTGATGGGACTTTGTGGGATGAACGTTGAGATTTAGAAGGGCACGGCGTGACCAGTAAGGTCTGAATTGGTCTGTAATAAGGTAGGGCACACTAAGGAAAGCTGTCTCGGGTGTGGACCAACAAACTTCAAGGACAGTGCATATATTATCAGAGCTGTGTTTTTTGTTTGCATTATGGCTGCAGGTATTGTGGTCTATGCAAACATGACTCCTTGTAAAAAGGTGTCAGTTTTGTTGCCAGATAGAAGGGTAAAAAAACAATTATCAAGGTAGGGCACTGATAAGGGGTTGACAGGTTTGCTATACACTACTAACCACTGCATTACTATACACTGCATTATACACTACACTATACCACACCTACCAACCCATAGGGATTACCCACATTCTTGTACAGGGAAATAATGTTTTCATGTCCATACGGCGTACAGCCGTTTCAATACGGGCACATTTAAAAAATAAATGTTGTTTATCTCTTTGTGTTTCTCCCTTGTGATGGGACTTTGCGGGATGAACGTTGAGATTTATAAGTGGCACGGGGTGACCAACATGGTCTGAATTGAATTTTGATTTAAAGCTTTCGTGATTGCAGGGATTCATATTCTTGGTTCTTTCGGTAAAGTCACGTAGAAGGGAAATAAAATAATATAAAACATTAGAAATTCTCACGACGTTTCGACTGCAACACAATCATCATCAGGTGTTTTATTATTTCCCTTCTACGTGACTTTACCGAAAGAACCAAGAATGTGGTCTGAATTGGTCTGTAATAAGGTAGGGCACTGATAATAAGGGGTTGACAGGTATGAGTACTTTATATGCCCCCCCTCCTCTTTTATGCTCCACATCTACATACAATAATTTATCAACGGTGGTGAAGTATGGTCAAATAACTCTCCCTCCCCCCACTCGGCGTGGTGAGGCAGTGGATTAACCAAAAGGTTGTGCATGTTACTTGGAATCCGCCTAATTCAACAATAGCTTGGGGGTTTGTTTCGTGATTATGGCGGTTGTTATTACACTTCTGCCCGGGTGGTTGTTTTTGTGTGTGTGTGTTGTCCTTCTCCCGCACCTCCGATTAGCACGATTAGCTACGTACGGTGCGAAAGAACTTGAACGTACGTTCTGCACATAAATCGGTAACCACTTTGTGGGATGTCGGCAGTGGTTGCAATGTGGCTGCATTGTCGCCCGCCATGGGAATGTGGAATTTCCGTGATGGCAGTTTGACATTTGTTAATGGCGTGAGCTTATGTACACGTACAGCCGGCCGGCTTGTTGTTCCACTGCTGAATGAGAGGACTCGCCACACAGTGCAGATCGTGGGGGTATTTTGACCGTACGTCACCACGCGCCACGGTGCGGGTGGGTGAAGGCGGGGAGCGTGTAAGTTCAGTACAACAATTGATGTTGCTCCACTGCACCAGCAAATTGGTGATGTACTTTCATGTGTAAGAATTAATTTGAAATTCATGTGATTATTTTCAGTTTTGTATAAAAAAATTTTGTTACTGAGAGGCTCTTAATTGGAAGAACTGCTCCAAATATAAAAATATGACATTGTGTCTGGGCTGAGCCACTTTAGCAGTATTTTTTCCCATTCATTCTGACCACAGCCCTGAGACCATCATTGTACAATAAAAATACTGTAAAATCACCATCCTAATACAGTCACTTGCATTGGTGGATTAAAACGTGGGAGAATTACCTCACTTATGTCACGCTTGACCCCAATGTAACATTATTTGTTAACCAAAGTTTACTTTGATCGCAGTGACATGCCTAATCGTGTCTGAACAGAGAATGGCGTGCGCGGTGGCCACCCCGATTCTGGAGCCGAGCGGGGACTTCCCGGCGTGGCTGGAGGCGCAGGGCGTGAACGAGGAGGTGGCCCGGGCCATGGACTCGGAGCTGGGCATCCGGGACTACGGGGTCCTGCGTGCCTGCGTCAGGGATGGCCTCGTGCGGGCCGAGCTGCTGGCCACGGCGCGCGACCGCCTGCCCTTCGGCTTCTACGCCGTGCTGCGGCAGGTGGTGAAGGCCCTTCAGGGTACCGAGCCCCACGACGCTGAGACGCCGCGATGGGACGACGCCGCTTCCTCCCCTGGCGACGTGACACTGGGAGGCCTGGTGGAGGTGCTGCTCGCTCTGTTCAGCGGCTTGAGCCGGGAGCTGCTGCTGTCCGTGCAGAGGCTGGGCGAGTGGGATGGATTAAAGTTGGGGACAGTTGCTGGCAGTTTTGAAGATGAGACCACTGAAATGGATCGTCATGTCGAAAATGGTACGAAACTCTTAAACCTCTCATCATTACAGTAGAATAGTTCACAGAGTGGAAACTTAATACTTGAGTTTGAGGAATAAAGTATTGTGATACCAGCTGCAAATACGACGAACAAGGCCGCACTTGCGTTTTGTACCTGTATAACTCATTGAGATAACACGATTCATTCGAATTCATGATGCAGCTTGTGTGCTGCCGCATGCTCCCTGCCATCATCAGCCCACAATGAACGAATGTGGTGAAGTGTGGTAAAATAACCAGCATGATCTGCATGGCTTGGAGAGTCCCTCATCCAGCAGTGGAATGGCAAGGACAAGTGCAATTTAATAACTGTCCCCAAGTCCAATTTAATAACTGCCTCCTTCCAGCATTGAACAGTCACACCTCTGATTAAGCACTGTTAGCTGCTTACCGTGCGAAAGAAGTTTAACATACACACATACCTCATTCGAGATCTTGAGCCATTGATGGAAACTCCACTTTCCTTGGATGGAGACCGCATCCTTCCTGAGATGCCATTGTTAACTTTACAACAATCGTGCCTGTTTTATTGACCCCGCAGGGATGAGTCAACCCCCGAGTGAGTTTGAACTTGAGCCTTCCCACTTGCAAGTCGACCACTCCCTTAAGATAATAGGTTTTTTTCTCAGTTTTTCTTAACACCTGTTTTGTTGCCAGAAAAAAGGGGGAAACCCTATTGTCATATTTTGGTACTGGCAAAGGAGGTCCCATGATGTAGACACTCCCTTAAGCTCTGCCACTTGGCCAGTTTGACTATGGAAGCGGTTCCATGATTTTTGATTTGTAAATTTTCAACATTTTAAAAGGTGTTGACTATTCGGAACTGCATTTCAGATGGACATAACGTCCACCTTGCTGGATAAGGGAGAAATTTTCATGCTGCGGTGTCAGATGTACGAAGACTGAGCTGACTTTTTCACCCACACCGGGATAGTGATGCTGCATTCAGTTTCACGTTTGTTTCTTACCGTTGACGTATTCTGTAATTAAGCCATGTTCACCAAACTGGACAATTTCCCCCAAAACGACACCTCGTACGTATTGTGGACGAGTACTGCCCTGATGTGTCAATCAACTCCTGGATGAGGGCCTCTCCATGCCTGTGTGGATTCTGGACATTATTTTACCTTACACGACCACACTGGTCACTTTGTGTATAATGACAATTGCGACATTTTGAAAGTTGAGATTGGCCTGATTTGCCGAATTGCCTTATCATGAGATCACATACTCTGGGTGATCCATTGATATATGAACCTGATGGCGGGACCCCGGGGTTCCCATAAGCCCCCGGGCTCTCGCATAAACTGCGTTGTCTGTTGAAGGCGAACGATATGGCAATCTATTCCTCTCGACGAGCTCTACACGATGCGCTTGTCAAAGTTTCAAAGTTTTGTTTCTTCTGCGCATTCGTCCTCGCTGCTGCGCTTGGACGACATGACAACAGAATGATCCGCGCCAGGTGGGTCGCGGCGTTCATGTGCGCGGTGGGACGGAGTCGCCAAAAATCAATTGATTCATTACGATTTTGACTTCCGTTTATTCGGGACCCCGAGTTCCCACCCTAAGGTTCATATATGCACCCCACTATTTCAAAACTTTTATGTGGCTCTCACCACACTCAATACACTTCATGAATTCCTTTGACATTCTTCTTTGTCATATATGCAGCCATCGGTTTCACCAATATTCAATCACCCTTTCGAGAAGACTTGTTATTAAAACATCACAGATGTATCTATACAGTGATCGTCCTGAGTACAACATTACAATGTACACGTACAGCCCTTCAAAAATGTATTTGGTTACTCTTCCATCTATTTTACAATTTGATGCAGAACGGCTGATTCTGTATAATATCTTCGCTTGCAGTTGTATTTGACACGTCATTTTTACATTCGAGTTAAATAATTACCCTAATCCTCTGTTAATGTTTGCGTCACTACATTTTGCTGTGAATGGTTTTAAATGTTATTTGTCAGAAGCCAACCTTTGTTCAAGGAAACTAATCGAGATTAATGTTGATTTATGTCCGTGCATTCTTTTTGTTATTCCATCTGTGACGCTATTGCTTGTTTGCTCTGATTTCTCTTTACTTCGGAGTTGCACGTGATCATTTGTTATTTGCTTTTGTAATTTTGATGACTCGGGGTCAGAGGTCGCAATCGGGTACCCAATACCCGTATCCTGCCCGATACCCGGCTACCCGTACCCGGCCGGATACGGGTAGCCGTTTGCGACCCTGGTGCTGCCGGGTACTGGTACGGATAGGCCGTGAGTCACTGGTGAGTAACTGTTTGTCACTCATTTTCCAACGTCTTGTCTCTTCTCACAATTCAAGTTTCTAGAATCAACCCACTCGCGCCTGCAACATGGCTTCATCCCAGAGGTCGCAATCGGGTACCCGATACCCGTACCCTACCCGATACCCGGCTACCCGTACCCGTACCCGGCCGGGTACGGGTACGGGTACCCGTTTGCGACCCTGGTGCGGCCGGGTACGGGTAAGGAATCAAAACCCGTTTGCGACCTCTGCTCGGGGTCCACTCTTGCAAATGAATCTCTCGGTCTCTCAAGGATTCACCTGCTCATTAGAAAATTAGTGGAGTGCCTACAAATTTGATGACCCTGTACATACTCTGTATTGATGACTTGTATGTGTCAGTGGCTTATACGCGTGTTGATGCAGTGGCTTTGTATATGTGCAGATAAGCCAGACGAGAGGTCCACTCCAGTCATGGATGCCTCCTATGGCACCATAGCAACGGATCATGTTAAAATGGAGTCCTATGAAGGTACGGCTTGAACACCATTGTGTATAGAATATCACCACACTATTTTACTGTTACTTGATGTTACTGTTTATATGTTATCCATAATAGAGGTTATTTTGAGCTAGATCGTGTAAATAAAAATGCGTCGTTAAACTCGCCACCACCCGACATGTCCAATTAATAAGGTTTGTCACGTCAACAAAACTGTACTCGAATTGTAAATGTTGTGGTTTTACTCTCCAACACACCGGTGTGCTGAACTAGTAACGAATTGGCATGTTCTGTTTACCTAACAAACCTTACTAATTGGCTGTGTCAGGTGGTAGCGGGCTTTAACGACACATTCATATTTACACGATCTAACCCAAAAACCTCAATTATGGATAATATTGGTCACGAAAACTTTTTATATGTTATTTAAAATATCCCATTTATTCGTAGTGTTATATTGCGGAATAATATTTTGTTGTGTCAATGTTGTTGTAATGTAGCCCTACCACCGCACACCCGTGCTTGGTCACTGTCGGTTGGTAAAGGAACCATTTAGATGTCACTTGCCGCTGATGGTAGCCGTGACCGGGAATCCAAGTCGTGTCGCGGGTTCAGTATGCAGTGCAAGAGCCACCGCACTACCGTTCTTCATTTTTAGAAAGGACGTTAACCGATGACATGTCACAGAGTCACTCGCGCAAAAGTGACCGATGCAGCAGTAACTTTGCCTGACACCAGTTTCGTTTGAACACTTGACCGCTTGTTTTCCCCACTTCCAGATGACGATGCTTATTTCTCGAATTCCATACTGGATCCTCAATTGACAGAGCAAGGTTCCGTGGAGTACACTACAAAGAAACGCTTTGGTAAGTGTGAGTCGAATCGGTAGATGTTTAAAACAAATGCTGATGGCACCAATGAATGCATGCAAAAAACCCGTCATCAAATTTGGTTCTTCGCTCAATTTGAATAATTTATAGTTCCGTGGGATTTTTAAAAAATACCAATGTGACGAATGCGAACGCCATTTCTGAAATATGCCATTTTAATGCTTTGCATTTATACCCTGTCGCTCGGCCACGTTACTTCTCTTTCAACTGATTAATTAGCCAGGTCGACACTAACTTTTATTTCTACTTTATTCGGTTTAAACGCGTAACAGCAATGCGACTGGTGCATCTTCTGCTGCAGGTAAACGTCTGCTGGAGAGCCATCCAGATCTCATCATTGAAGGCGTGACCTCGCTGCCCAATGCGTACGAGGTAGGCGCTGGCCAATACGCTTTGACAGAGTCGGAGAAAGGCGAAATGACCGAAGCAGAAGAAGAAATCGCCGCCACCGCCGCCGTCGTGAAGACTGCAGCCCAGCCGCTGAGGGGGCGACGCTCATTCCCGCGCAGGCAAACCATCGGCAGGAGGGTCTCGGCAAAGCGCCGGCAGAAGCCCTCCGGTGGAGATACCGAGCCGTACGAGCACAAGTGCTCGCTGGCGAATGCAGCCGCCGCCGCCGCGGACAAGCCGCACCGCTGCAAGTTGTGCGGGCAGGTCTTCGCGCAGAGCAGCCAGCTGAAGGCCCACGCACGCACGCACGTGGGCGAGAAGTCCTACCGCTGCAAGGTGTGCGGTCAGGTGTTCGCGCAGGCGTTCGGCCTGCGGCGCCACCTGCAGATGCACTCGGGCGAGAAGCCGTTCTGCTGCGATGTGTGCGGCCACGGCTTCTCGCAAGCGTTCGGCCTCAAGCGGCACCAACAGATCCACACGGGCGAGCGGCCTCACCGCTGCCAGCTGTGCGGCAGCGGGTTCTCGCAGCCATGCGACCTCAAGATCCACCTGCGCAAGCACACGGGAGAGAAGCCCTTCTGCTGCAAGGTGTGCGGCCACGGGTTCTCCCAGCGCTGCCACCTGAAGATCCACCTGCGGAAGCACACGGGCGAGAAGCCCTACCGCTGCAAGGTGTGCGGCCAGTGCTTCTCGCAGAGCTTCAGCCTCAAGCGGCACCAGCAGATGCACACCGGCGATAGGCCGCACCGCTGCACCGAGTGCGGGCGCGGTTTCTCGCAGCCCGGCGACCTGAGGGCACACGAGCGCACGCACACGGGCGAGAAGCCGTATAGCTGCGACGTGTGTGGCCAGACCTTCACGCGCTCCACTGACCTGCGCTTCCACCAGCGTATGCACGTGGAGGAAAGTGGTGCTGTGGGGGAAACTTTTTGAGGCCGCCATCGTTGTATTCCAGCTGAGGTCGTAGGTTTTTCGCATTTGTGCTGTACTGTTTGGCACGATGTCCCCAATGTTTCACGCCACACGCTGATAAGGTTTTTCAGTTCGTGCATTTTTGGGTTGTGCCGCGTGTTGTTAGCCTTAGTGTGTGTTAGTCGGAAGCTCCCGGCACATGGGGCGAAACGTCGGACGTTGTGTTGAACAACGCGTAGTGGCACAACCTGAAACCACGTCAAAATGTTTTACTGTTAAGAACGATGGAGTATGAAAAAAAAATGGCCGGAGTGGATCAGGGGCCAGAGTACTTCTCTGGCGCTGCTGAAAACCTAGGTTCAAATCCAGCTTTCAGTTTCTGTTCTCAAGTGGAGTGAGTTTACAGTCTTGGCCTGGTCACAAATGACTGCACAAAACCCCACCACGTTGAATTTGCCTTTCGCTTTATTTTGCTGAACATTTATCTTTATCGGGACGAATGGGAAAGTGCACCCCCTAGTGTATGGATAAAATACAGTCGCTGAAACAGTTCTCAGAAGTCATTCTATGATGTCATTTTTGCGGGCAGTTTTTATAACATGTGAGTGAGTGAGACTTTGGAGACTTGGGGTCTCCCAAGTCTCACTTGTGAAAGAGGTGTGCTATTTCAATATGCTCTTTTCATCTGGTTATAGTCAGAAAGAGCATCGCAAGCAGCAGTCATGTTATGAGACCAGATCAAAATACAACTCGTAAGATTTTAGACAATGCCAGTAGACAAAGAGCAGATTTCAAACCATGCTTATTAAGGTGAGCTAATCAAGTATCTTGTTTCGGAGAATATAGGTGCGTGTTTAGTGTTAATTTTTTAGGCACAGTTCTTGGTACTGGGTTTAAATAACCAGATAAGAGTTTTGAATAAGGTTATGCGGCGAAGTCGAGGTTTAAGGTAAATGCACAGATACATGGCAAGCCGATCGTTAGTAGCAGGCACACTACTACGAAATTGTCTGCATCGGAGGCACTAGCTGAAGCAAGGGCAGCTGTACAAATGTGTTGTCAATGCTTGTGGAATTCTTATCTAGTACAAACCATCCTGGTGTAGCGAGAGCACTGGATAGTGCGCTGTGCTGAGAACCTGGCAAACCTGCGTTCTATTTCTGGCCACAGCTAACATCGCTTGCAGATTTGTATCTGTGCCGCTCCTGGGTTCCAACCACTTCAACCCGGCACTGACTAGCACGGTGAAGGATGGTCAAACAATCCCCCAGAGTCAGCGCACTGGGGGAGGCCTTCATCCAGCAGTGGATGGACGAAGGGTTGTAAATTACTATTTGTTCTTATTACTCACGGATATAGCCTCAAGACTGATGGCTTTTGTGATTCAACAGCCACAATCACCAGTGACAACACGTGCCGAGTCACACTTACATTGCCTCATATGAACGCGTGGAAACGTGCACTGGCAAAGTCAACAAAGCCATATTGCCACCCTTCTCAGACAAATACGAGGTCGCACTAGTTGGTAGAAATTCCAATTGTTTTATGATGGGGGGGGGGCTTTCTTTCCATGGAGCTTGTTGATCCACAAGGTGGTACTCGATGGATTCATCACAGAGGGATAATGGTGGGCCAGGGTTGATCTCCAACCAATATTTAAACTTGCAACTTTCTTATACCCCTTTTACACCGTACAACTGAGCCGTGCTAAATCAGCCTGTCGTGACTCAGGAGGCACCGGTTACATTTTTTCTACCCCACCCATGGTCCTGCTTGGCCCCAAGACATATTCAGTTGTCTTGTGAGGCCAGAGTTGCTTTTGGCTCAGCTCTGCAAATATCCAGTGGGATCCACACACACACACACATATATGCTGAGGGCCGTGCGCTGGTGCAGCTCAGATGTGTTTGGCTGGATCAGGCAATTTACTTGGTTTTGAGAAAGCTTCCTGGCGCTGTCAAATGCTCTTTAAGTTCGTGCATAAATGTGTTTGGCTTTTGAAGGTCAATGTAGTTCATGCTGAATTCACTGTTGGTGAAAATTTTAATTTTTTGAATAAAAAATAAAAATTCTCAACCCGGAAAATGTCAAAAGCAGCGTCGAAATCATCCTCTGCATCACTAGCATTCATCGCCAAGGCCATCTGCAAACATTGTGATGTAATTTACATGTGTAGTGACGCCGACACATGTTGTGACTTTCAAGAACCTTTATTCAGACACAGCACGAACGATGCCCAGAACTGGTTCTTGAGGCTTGACCTTCATCTCTTGAATGTCCCCCGATCTCTGTGCTGGTCTCCTTTCATACCTCCCAAGCCCCCTCTCTGGAAGCTTCTTTCACCCCCCACTCCCTTCGGCCAATCCTGATCCTTCCCCACCAACGGTTCTCCACTGTCCTCCAGTCCACCCCTTGCTTTTCCACCAATGGGGGGAGGCATTGGCTTACGTCATGATTGTCAGACCGTACACTTGTGTCAGGTAAGAGGTCTGTTATCTCGGTCATTACACATGTAAATCATGCTGGGGTTGGGCTTTGAAGACAGATTCATGCATATGTTATTTGCGTTCATCGTTATCCAATGTGGCAATGCAACTCAAGTTATGTACCACGTGAGAAAATGCTACGACCTATAACAGCAACGAGTTCAAATCAGTGTGCCTGGAGAAACCCATGCATGTCTGCAAAGGACCAACATGCAAAAACTATTGCATAGATACATCAGCCTAATTAATGCCCTGGATTTGACAAACACCAAATTAATGAAGCATTCTCCAACTCACAGCATCGTGAGAGAGATGATGACGGCTCGGAGAGGACTTTATCCAACATGGATGCTGCTGATCTTTCGTAAGGCTGCAGATGCGGATACAGAGCAACAACTACAATTTCACATTCAGGTCAGATAGCCACATCAGAAGCAGCGGAGTGTGTCACTGTCATGTCTCCTTCGTATTTGTGGATTGGGCATTGCTCCATATGCTGGATGGTCCGTTCTGGATGATCACAATCGCACACTGGAGAGTTTTAATTTTGCAGGTATCCGCATCTGCCATGGTTTGTGCAGATGCGGTTTAGGGTGGACCATGAGCTTCGTGGAAGATCAAAACAATTGATCTGCGTTGGATTTTTCACAAGGTGTTTGTGAGTTCTGAACTCCCTTAACATTTTCCAAGCTTCATCGGGGTTAAATTCGCATTGTTCAAGGTTAAGGGAATGGGACCACAATGGCTTGCGTGACTTCCCCAGGCTGTGCTTGCCAGTTTGTGGACCAGGTTGACCCTTGTTTTAGTTTTGGCGGCTACCTTTTTCATTTAGTCGCGAAAGGTTCGCGTACGGTCCAGCTTCACACCGACATAGGTTGGAGTGGTGTTGTTGTTTCACATTGTTGCCAGAGAAGGTCACTTTCAGAGTGTGCTCATGATACGACAGCTGCTGCTGATGATATGACAACTATTTCAGGACGGATACTTGTAAGTGTCTATCAGATAATACAAATCTGGCAAATTATTTTAAGGAACACAAAAAATGAGTTTCATCTACTGAATGGAATGCGGCTGAGATATTGTCCGCCGAGAAGATAGAGTGATGAACTCTGGGCATGTGCAGATGCTGAATGTATTCGCTGTGTTAAAGGCGAACTGGAAAACGTCCTTCACCCATTATGGTCCACCACACCACTTGCTCTAAGGCCACGTACACGTGCTCCCCGACTCCCTCTACCTCTCTGTTTACCACACGATCCGTGATGGGGACCAGCGGGAGCGAGGTTGAAGAGTTTCGCCACTAGCCGTGCTGGCCACTTAATGCCAGGGAAATTCATTTAGCGCATGGCCTCTGCCTGCCACGCTTATTCTCGAGCCTACCCCCTCCACGCTACTCAACATGCACACAATGCCAATGCCACGCTTTGATACACTTACAGCGGTTTCTATTGTCATAATCAGGGATAATTTTAGATGCGCGATGTGTTGATGATGCACCCAGGCCACACTCGCCATTCTCCCACTCACACCGTCTGTCTCAGGAAAACAGTTTTATTGCATTCCAACACGACCTGCCCTTTCTAACTTAGCCCCCTTGAGTGCTCGTGTATCTGGGTGCACCATCATATGCTACGCGGATTCTCCTGGAGGTGGTCTCACGTCAAACTCACCCATGTTTTACCACAGGGTCCGGGAGTCAACATCTAACACCGAACTTTGCCAATTCTCTCTCACATGGGAAACCCTTGGCCAGGTCACTCGCTCGGTTGCCGGGATGAAAACGCAGGTGGAGAGGTTTGGTTTGTGTGTTCTAGTTGACCTAGGCGCTAGTCGGGGTGCGTGCATGGGGTGAATGCATGGTGTGTGTGTGCATGGGGTGTGTGCGTGGTGTGTTTGTGTGCGTGGGGTGTATGTGTGTGTGGGGTGTATGTGTGGTGTATGTGTGCGTGGGGTGTGTGTATGTGTGGTGTGTATGTGTGCGTGGGGTGTGTGTGTGGTGTGTGCATGGGGAGTGTGTGGGGTGTATGTGTGCGTGGGGTGTGTGATGTGTGCATGGGGTATGTGTCTGTAGGGTGTCTGTGTGGTGTGTGCATGGAGTGTTCGTGTGGGATGTGTGCATGGTGTGTGCAGTGTGAGTATGCGTGGGGTGTATATGTGCGTGGTGTGTGTGGCGTGTGCGTGGAGTGCAAGCATGGTGTGTGTGTGTGGGGTGTGATTGTTATGTGAATGGTGTGTATATGCGTGGGGTGTATGTGTGTGTGTGTGGTGCAAGCAAGTAACACAATCTTCATAAACGTTCCAACAAAACCATAAATGCCAAAATACATTGCTACAAATGAAAAATATATTTACAATATACTGAAAAAATTCTATTTACAAAATACTGAACACGAGGCTTGTTTGCAAACTTGCATGAAAGCAAGACGTATTGCACATTTAAATCTTCTCCATTAATACTGTCACTGTGAGACGGTCTTCCTCGAAATTTAATACACGGTGAAACTAAACTAATATATATATATACAGTTATTATATACGAGTTAAAAACATCCTTAGCTATTTCAGTAACAGTGAGTCAAGAGAAAGGAGGGAGGGGGTTATTGGTCGGTGATGGTTGGGTGGTTAGTGTGCATGGGTGGTGGATGCGTGATGTGTGTATGTGGGTGGTGTGTGTGTGGTGTGTGGTGTGTGTTGTGGGTGGGGTGTGTGGTGTGTGTTGTGGGTGGGGTGTGTGGTGTGTGTTGTGGGCGGGTGGGGTGGTTTGTGTGGGTGTGTGGGTGGTGTGTGTTGTGGGTGGGTGAGGTGGCGTGTGTCTGGGTGGATGGCGTGTGCATGGGTGGTGGGGTGCGTGATGTGGGTGGGTGGTGTGTGGGTGGCGTGTGCATGGGTGGTGGGGTGCGTGATGTGGGTGGGTGGTGTGTGGGTGGGTGATGGGTGGGTGGTGTGTGGGTGGTGGTGTGTGGGTGGGGTGTGTGCATGCATTGGGTGTGTGTATGCGTGGGGTGTATGTGTGTGTGAGGTGTGTGTGTGGTGTGTGTGTGATGTGGGTGAGTGGTGTGTGGATGGGGTGGTTTGTGTGGGTGGGTTGCGTGTGTCTGGGTGGGTGGGTGCGTGATGTGTGTAGATGGATGGGGGGTGTGTGTGGGTGGGTGATGTGTGTGGGTGGGGGGTGGGTGGTGTGGTGTGGTGGGGGTGGGTGGGGTGCCTGTGGGTTAGTGGGGTGCGTGTGGGTGGGTGGGGTGCGTGTGGGTTGGTGGGGTGTGTGGGTGGGGTATGTGTAAGTGGGGCGTGTGTGTGTGTGGGGTGTGTGTGTGTGTGGTGGGTTTGGGTGGGGTTCTTGTGGGTTGGTGGGGTGCGTATGAGTGGGTGTGTTGTGTGTGGGTTGGTGGGGTGTGGGTGGGTGGGTTGTGTGTGGGTTGGTGAGGTGTGTGGGTGGGTTGTGTGTGGGTTGGTGGGGGGGGGGAGGAGCTTATCTAAATGGCCTCCTCCCCCCTCCCCTGAACCAGTATATAAGATTTTGTCTCTTGGATTTCTCTTCACTTGATACAGCCAATTTAGCTGTGACGGTCCCACCTGAAGACGGAGACTTGTGTTGCCTCCGAAACGTCGTGATTTAATTGATTTATTTTCATTAATTATTATTGTATTTCGATTATTTTTTACCTACGTGACTTTACAGAAAAAAACCTAAGAGTATAGTATAGTACAGCCGTTACCATCAGCCACGATGTATTTCTTATTACAATACAGTATTATAAAGTGCAGGAAGAGTTATTTCATCAGCTTCACCCCACTTTCCCCCCCCCCCCTGTACCCAATGGATGTTTGGCATCGCGTGACGCTCGTTCAGGCGGCTGCAATCGCGTCCCCCCGCCATGGGAATGTGGAATTTCCACGAGTGCAGTTTTGACATCCGTTACGATGCTAACCGTTTCAAAGTGTGTGGTGACACATTGGTTGGTGCTGTCCTGTGGGGCCGTCCATAAATGACGTCACGCACCTAGGGGGGGGGGCGGGGTCAGACATTTGTGACGATGTGTGACGAGGGGGGGGGGGGAGAAATGTGACGTCATATCAAAATGCACAACTTTAAATAAATATAGACAACACGTTCTACTTAATTAAACAGGACCCTGCGGGGTGGGCTGGTAGGAACGAATAACCAAAGAATATAAACATAATGTATTATTACACTTGTTTAGCCAGGAAAGCCCCACTGAGTCTAAAGGTTTTTGTAGGGTCCTGCCAAGTGTTTGCAGTAGGGGACGATGTTGCTACACCAAATCGGACGATACGAAGGGAGAGTTTGAGGCCTAATTCTAGGCTTTAGGCCTAGCTGTACGCTTTAGGCCGCTGTGAGTTAATTTTTTAATGTAAATGTTTTAATTAAAAGCTATCGCAGGGAATTATAAGGGAATGTTACACTTGTTTAGCCACGAAAGCGTCACTGAGTCTAAAGGTTTTTGTAGGGTCCTGCCAAGTGTTTGCAGTAGGGGGCGATGTTGCTACACGGGCGGACGGACGATATAATCTGTTGTAGGCTGGTTCACTTCGTTCCTACCAGTAATAGACTTTGTAATAAATGTTTTCTTCTACAACATCTGTGCAGCATTAAATACGCACTACAATAACAATAGTTTAAAGCGATTTGAAGCATGCTTTATTTTTCGGGGGGGGGAGAGGGCAGAGCTTTGTGACGTCATTTCGGGGGGGGGGGGTCTGACTTTTTGTGACGCCGTGACGAAAAGGGGAGGGGGGCAAAAATCGTCCAAAATCGCGTGACGTCATTTATGGACGGCCCTTGTGCGCGTGTTCGTAGCGCACCGGTGAACTCACGTGTACGTACAGCCAACTTGTTAATCCACGGCTGGATGAAAGGGTTCGCCACGCAGCCGCACATCATCGCCACGCTCGCTCGTCGTTGTGGGTGGGTGAAGTCGAAGGACGCATAGAAGTTCAGTTCAACAGTTGATGTTGCTGTGCTGCACTGGCGAGCTCTAACAATGCTGCCGAAATTTCGATTTAAAGCTTTCGTGACTGCAGGGATTCATCTTGTTGGTTGTTTCGGTAAAGTCACGTAGAAGGGAAGTAATAAAATAATAAAACATAAAATACAATTCTCACGACGTTTCGGCCACAACGCAAGTAGCCGTCCTCAGGTGAAGAGTGATATGCAAATTCCTTTGTCAAGGCGCCCTTCCTCCTTTAACCTAGCTTAAATATACGCTGCCAAGCTTGGTGGTGCTCATTCAGACGCTGTCTTTCCGACAGACCTGTTCTTCACCCGAGGACGGCTGCTTGCGTTGTGGCCGAAACGTCGTGAGAATTGTATTTTTATTATTTTATTATTTCCCTTCTACGTGACTTTACCGAAAGAACCAAGAAAATGCTGCCGAAATTATGCACTTTCCGGATTTAAGGCCGTGAATCCGATGCGTAAGAAATATTTTAAAAAATATATTTGATACGGATATGCGAATGGGGGCATATGGTGCGCTTATTTATTTTGATATTTTATATTCTCCACGACGACCCGAATTATTTTCGGTTGTACACGGGTAGGAAACTGCTCCACGTGCAAAATGTGCATCTCGTGTCTGCACAGCCAAAGGGCTGGAGCATTACTCATTCTGGCCACAACCCGATACAACATTGACCGATTAAAAAAAAAACCCGATAGAATCTGTTTAATACGTAGGTTTTCACGATAAATATTCTTAAAAGTTTTTTTGGGGTTAGATCACGCAAATATAAGTGCTGTTAACCCACCATCACCACCACAGCCAATTAAGACGTTAATACACAAAATGTGCCAATTAGTTACTTCAGAAATTGTAAACTGACATTCACAATTTCAGTACGACGTTTCAATGGCGATTACAACCAGCTTCATCAGGCGATTTGCCCAAATTGTGAATAAGTCTTCCTGTTTCCAGTCTTAGTCAGGCAGCCGTGTGACCTCAAGACACACACACACACACCTGCACAAGCACACGGGCGAGAAGCCGTATACAGCTGCAACGTGTGTGGCCCAGACCTTCAGGTCGCTTCCACTTACTTCAGATGTTGTTTTCCCCGCTTCAAATAAAAGGTGCATCGTGTTGAAAAGTTAAACATTAGACAAAGAGCCTCCATCGAGCTGCACAGGGCTCGCAAATCAGTTTTGCCACCGATGAACGACAAGTTTAAAACACGTGTTATAGGCGAGTAACAAGTATGACCATTGCACACGGGTCAAGGTGGAAGTTTTAATAGTATTTTATATAAACTCATTATGCATTTCCATGGAGCATTGTGGATAAAAGCAGCAGGATAAAGTCAATTCTGTGTTCACAAATTAAACGCGTTTTAGTCGATCAGCCTATTGGTTATCCAGAAAAATATGATCAAGCAGCATTATGTTAAAAAGCAAGCAAACTGGACAAGTTTAAATATTTTGGACCTCATCAGCAGTCAGGCTGGTTTAAACAAATGCTGCTGAATTACCGGATGTTATTGGCTACGAGCATTCCAAATAAAATATGGGACCCCGTTCAATGCAAAAAATCTAAACGATACGTAAACTCACGCGTTGCTGCGAACAATTTTTGGGTAACAGCATATTATGATCATGTCTCCACATTAAAATATTCTTTATTTAATATTTTAGTAAGGCCTTACAACCGAGCTTCATGACACACCACACATACATTTTATTGGCCCCGATGTGAAAGAAAGAGGGGTTCGTGAAGGGGTCAGCATTAGTTCGTCCAAGGAAGGAAAAACACTACTGGTTGGTGACTGAAATTTGGCTTCTATGAAAGAAGACAAGAACGTTGAATTTGGCGAGGGGGGAAAAAAACGGGCAAATGAGCATCGGTACGGGTGGAAGCACCACGGGTAAAATCGTTGTACCAACTATTCTTGGAGAAAAAACAACAATGAATTCTGTCCATTGTAACAGAGATGGTCCATAGAATTTTCTAAGCACATGCCCGCCATTGGGACTACCAGCCGAAGACCCGTTTTGCAAATCCTTGAACGGTTTGGAAAGTGAAACCTCAATAGAGGATGCGCATTAGGGAACCTGCTAAATATTAATGTTCAGCACGACTAGTACGATTAAGTCACGCCTGGTCTTAAGGTAGGTAAAACCGGCTATGTTAAACACAAATATGGGTCTTCCATTGTGTGCCACTGCCTGTATCTGACCAAGAAAAGTTCTGGTTACTTATGACAACTTTGCAGTGCATTTACTTAGCTCAAAATTATTTATTCGAAAAAACACAGTCATCAAATATACTTCAGACTAAAAATACATACTGCTGCCACGGATGAAAAAGTCAGTCCTATGGAACAATCGTTTTTTTTAAAACATGTACACTTCTGCTGTTGCAGCAGCAGAAGATGAGATGCTAGTGACATGAGACCACTGTTAGGAGGGGCATGCCGACAAACACACAAACGGACAACGATCACAAACTATGTACAACAATGAATACCACCGCTGGGATTCCCAACGTCCTATGTAGTGTCATGTGCCTGAGCCTATGGGGAGGGGGTGGATGCAGAAGTTGCATTACCCAGGCAATTGCAACAATGTCAGGTTTTCTCGCAGACCCAATTAGGGGTTGTTTTGAACAACTCCGGCATAAACAATAAGTTTATGCTTTTACATAAGTGATTTTTTTATGCTGGTAAATGCATTAGTGTGCTTAAATGTGTTCCTTTGGTTTAAAACAACTGGGCGAATTCACTGGTCGTGAGAATTTGGAAACTGGCTCGGCAGAATCTGGAAGTTGATCGATGGAAGTGAGAAACGTTGAACACAAAATCAGGTTAAGATGAGAATGGCTGTGATAATCATGGTTGACCCCCTTTTTGGGGAACGGCCCTTTTCGATCGCTGAGATATTTCTTTAGGGCAGTGTTAATGACGATTCGTGTTGAGTTGTTATATGCACATCACTGCCAATGCAATAGTAAACATAAAAAAGATAGAAATTAAGATGCAGAAAATGCAAGTAGATAAATGCATTTGGTCTGAATTGAAATAAAAATGCCGTCCCTGTTTTCCCTTCAGATATAACCATGTCCAAGTTGTAAATTTATAGTCTGAGTCTCCTTGCACCACGATATTAATGCAACCCGTCATTCAGAAATTCAGCTACAAAATCAACATTTAAGGCAAGTAAAAAATATCACTTTGGGAGAAACATTGGTGCCAAAGTAATGCAAATATTTGAATGAAGAAATCAGAATTCCTCACATTCACACATCCAAAATGGAAAAGACAGGTTACAGAGAGAAATTATTCTTAAACTTAGAACAAAAATTGACGAGAGAAGAAATGCAATTAGTAAATGCTGCAAAAACAAGGACGAAAAACCATGCACATACGTGGACTTTCTCACACTTTCACAAAAGCGTTTGTCTTGAGAAAATTTAGTTTTTCTCACAGAAAGCACAGGCAGGGTTATAGAAACATCATATAAACGGTTCAGGTCAGCGGGCTTTTTGACCAGGCAATTTCCCTTGGAGAGGAGACACTTCGCTCGATATACGGGCGTACATAGGCAAGAATAATGAGAGGATGGCAGTGAAGGTAGAGAAAACACCGGGGGAGATCCTGTACGGAACGGAGACAGGGCGACGAAATCAGCCCCGTGCGCAGGCGCGCGCGCGCAGTCGGTCGCTGCATTTGCAGAACCGGGAGAGATCACAGCAACTTGGGAAGGCCTTCGTCCAGCAGCGGACAGATCAGGGCTGAAGACACACACACAAAACACATACAATGCACAAATTAGTAAACATGTAGAGGAATAGTCCGGGGGAAACGGCGTCACGCTCGCTGGCTGGGGCGGTGACGTCACGGGAAGTGGCGTCATGAGCGCTGGTCAGCAGGATGACGTCATGTCCCGTGACGCAAGCGGGGTCCGTTGCTAGGAGTAAGGGAACGAGAAGGGTGGGAGTTAGGACCAGGGGTAAGGTGGGGAAGTCTGGAGAGTGAGGCCAGCATAGGAACGAGGAGCACCTGCGCTCCTCAGAGGTCGCAAACGGGTTTTGATTCCTTACCCGTACCCGGCCGCACCAGGGTCGCAAATGGGTACCCGTACCCGGCCGGGTACGGGTACACGTTCCCTACCCGTACCCTACCCGAAATTAGTGACAAACGGCGACTCACCAGTGACTTACGGCCTACCTGTGCCCGTACCCGGCCGCACCAGGGTCGCAAACGGCTGAGTTTGGATGATAAACCCTTGCTGGGGCAGAGGAGGCACCCCGGGCAGCCAGCTGTGCGAGGGAACTGACAGGGTGGAGGGTCCGAGGGTAGGACCCAAGCCTATTCTACCCCTACCCCTGGGAAGTGGTTGTATCTTAAGAGTTAAATCGGCAGAAGCCCTTAATAAAGCACCCGCGCAAGCCCTTTACTTGGAAACCTGCATCCGAGTCGTCCAACACTTCGCAACAAATATAATACCATTGGTACCTCATTTGCCAGTAAAAAATATGATAATTGGTTTTTTACCCTTTAATCTGGCAACAAAACTGACACCTTTTTTACAAGGAGTCATGTTTGCATAGACCACAATACCTGCAGTCATAATGCAAACAAAAAACATAACTCGATAAATGCACGCACACAAACGTCACGCGAGTAATTCAATATGTACAGTACATGCATACACATACCAACACAACGCAAATTAATACACACTAACAAATGTATACGTACGCAATAGAGTATGCATTCATAAATATATATATACACAGTATAATACGCACACGATAGCAGAGGCACACAAACACGTAGGTTTTATGGACATACATAAAGCAGTGTTTAAGTACTCACATTCAACCTTGTTTTCATAGTTGGTCACCAAAACTCTCCAATTTATCGCAATTGTATATATGTTGAACTTCTTTTGCATCATACGTAGCCAAGCGTGCTAAGTCGGAGGTGCCGGGGGATTCCATCCAGTGCCGGGACTCAAAACCGAAACATGAAATTAATTTACTAAAGACATAGGGTGGCCGATCTGTATAACCAAGCGATTTAAGGACAGTTACATGGCAACATGTGCGATTGCGAGTGACATCAAACAAGGTCCAATGACCAACAATGGCAACTCGCACAACGAGCCATCGAAAGCACAATATGTATTCAACTACCTCGAACAACAAAGATCCCCTGTGTAGCCTTAACAGACTTGTTGGGGCAAGTGCTGTTAGCACCTATAAAGGCCGGCCTCCGCTAGGCCGAGCCGGCCTAGGGGAGCCGGCCTAGGGGAGGCCCAGGACCCGGTTCAGATACAATCGTCACTGGTGTTGGCCGTACGTGGGAATCGAACTCAGGCCGCCGAGTTCATAGCGAAAACGGGCTAAACTCGGGCCGGCTTCGGTGGTGGTGGTGGAGGAGTGGATGGTGTCGGTCGTCGCGTGGCGAGTCATGGATGACGCCAGTGTGGCAGTGCAGCGCTCAGCGTTTAGTGCGGAGGGAGTTGTGGGCGGTAAGGGCTGGATGGGGCTGTCCCCTCGCACAGCCGCGGGTTGCCTGCCCGTTCATCACCTTTGCGTCGGTAGGCTCCATCTCAATGAGCTCTTGAAGCATCTCTGCGAAACGCACAAGAACGGTAATGGGTACACGTAGCAATAAACTTACCAACATACAGTTATCGTGTTTTAAATCTGTATTGAAAACTAATTTCTTTAGAGCTGCTTTTTGTGTTCAGTTTATTGGCCTTCTCCCCACACCTCCGGTGAGCATGGCTGGCTACGTACGGTGCGAAAGAAGTTCAACATACACACATGCGTATGTACGGAAAACTTCGCATCCTGCGCTTCAGGCCCAGCAATACGCAAATAGCTTTTTTATTTTATTATTGGCAAGGCTTTGCAAATTCTTACACCGGTGCATGCCTGCATGCCTGCAAGCCAGCACTATGGAAGCAGGATTGTTGCGGTCCCAACACAAGGGTTTAAACACACAGCACGATTCCACCTTTGGGAATAGTTCCCGTAAGTAAGGGGAGCAGCAGCACTCTAGATTGATATTTACTGGAACATTTCAACATAAGAACTCACCGCGAAAGGTTACTGTTACAATAAATTGGCAATAAAAAAAATGGTATTAAATCTACCTTGCTTTAAAATTCGGTTTTAACTCACACTGCCAATGGTTGACAGCATTCTGCATTTAATTCACAGCGTAACATTGTGCGATGAATGATATTTCATAACCATGTCATAGATGCTAGACTGTTTGAAACGTGCGATGCTATTTCACAGTGCGTTGTTGTGACAGATGCTAGACTGTGCTCGGAGCTGTGCCTTGCATAGAGTCCTGAACCCACAAATTGTTTATTTTTAATAAGAACACTACATGCAATTTATACGCCAAGGCGGCGAGATGTTAACTACCCTGCCTGGTGTACAGGAGGTCGTGGGTTCAATCCCGACCCTGATGCCTGTTGTATATTTGGAGTTTGCACGTCTCTCCCTGCGGTTGCGTGGATTTTTCTCCACGTTGTCAAGTTTTTCCACGCCCACATTTAGAAACGTGCGTTTAGAGTATTTGGCTGCAATGCATTTCCACACGATAAGCCACTTCGTTGAGCTATCATTTTATGTGGCCAGGTAGCTTCTGAAAAGAGCTACGTAGCTCAGTGGGCCTTACCTGGTAAAGTGAAAAGTTTAAGAGTTAAATAAAAGTATTTTTTAAATATATTCGGCCGTAAAAACATTTTCTCTAAATGTCAACTGTTGACAGTACTATGTTGCCATATGCTCGTTTATTTGTACCGATGTTATACTTGCGCAACACATTGTTACCACAAAACTATGCATTACACGTTTGAAAAGTTAAATCCTATCATAATTTCTCCGCACCTCCGATTAGCACGGTTGGCTGAGTACGGTGCGAAAGAAATTCAACATACGTACGCACGTAAATTGTCCAACATTCGCGAGTGTCTAGAGGCACAATCAACGAACAGAAAAACCAGCGTGTGCGCACGTACCCCGTAAAGCGGCATCTCTTGCAGAGCGGTCATCGATGATGCTGCAGACTTGCTCCACATAGTCTAACGTGCTGCACTCCCCCTGGCTCCAAAGGTTATTGAGCTGGTTCTCCTGCGACAGCTGCACCAGGAACTTCTGTCGCACGCAGCAACGGCAACGTTAGCAAGGCGCGTTGAGGTTTTGAGGGAGCATCATTTCAGGCAAGCTGCATCTCGCTACGCCGCACGAACGGGCAATGTATGCGGAACTTCTTTCGCACTTACCGTAGCCAACTGTGCGAATCGGAGGTGCGGGGGAAGGACAACAAACCACAAAAAGCAGTTCTCAAGATCGATTTAAAGCTTTCGTGACTGCAGGGATTCATCTTTTTGGTTCTTTCGGTAAAGCCACGTAAAAGGGAAATAATAAAATAATAATAAATAAAACATGTTTCAAAACTCCTTTAGGACAGACCTGTTCTTCACCTGAGGATGGCTGCTTGCGTTGTGGCCGAAACGTCGTGAGAATTATTTTATTATGTTGTATTTTTTTTATTTTATTATTTCCCTTCTACGTGACTTTACCGAAAGAACCAAGAAGACAGTTCTAAAGAATTGAGATTTCGAACGAGATTAAAAACACTCAGGTGTGTATGTTTTAAGACGTTTCCAGTCTAGAGGTGTTGATACGAGCGAGAGGAAACCCGAGTGCCCGGTAAAGACCTGTACGGGCAAAGGGAGAGGCAATACTATCCCATGCAGATGGAACGGATGAGAGATTAGTCCACACTTTATGTACCATCTCGTGCCAGCCAGCCAGGTTATAGCAACTCAACGGACAACAGGAAGGGAGTTTTACTCTTAGGTTTTTTCGGTAAAGTCACGTAGGTAAAAAATAGAAATAATAATAGAAATAAAATAATAAATCACGACGTTTCGGAGGCAACACAAGCTTCCTTCATCAGGTGTAAAAAATTAACCCATAAAAACAAAGTTTTCACTATAAATCCTTTATATGCGTGGCGGCTAGAGTCCTCTCGTCCTCTGGCTTGAGATGGCTGCCACCTATGGGTCAGATGAATGGCTGCCACCATTAAGCAATTGGTAATTAAATATTTAATTGATTTTTTCCTAAAAAGTGTAACATTTTGGAAATTTGTCACGCACAACAGGTCTGCGTGCAAAATGTCAGCTCGATTGGATCACGGGAAGTGGGTTAAAAAACTACCCAAAGATTTGCACGGTCGTAAGCAAGCAAGCAAGCAAGTGAACTTAATATAAAGGATTTAAAAAGGCACAGCAAAATAACTGTAGTGGGAGTTATTTGTGATGGGGCATTAATATATAGGGTAAGAGGAGGGGGGAGGAGCCAAGGGGGACGGGTGCAGGATGGGGGGTGTGGGTGGAGCCAGCTTGGCTCCTCCCCCTTCCTCTTACCCTATATATTAATGCCCATCACAAACAACTCCCACTACAGTTATTTAGCTGTGCCTTTTTACACCTGATGAAGGAAGCTTGTGTTGCCTCCGAAACGTCGTGATTTATTCTTTTATTTCTATTATTATTTCTATAATTTTTTATTATTTTTACCTACGTGACTTTACCGAAAAAACCTAAGAGTATGATCTTGCAGTCACAAAAGCTTCAAATCTAGAAGGAAGGGAGTTTTGAAACACCTGTGTGGTCTACCTTGCCTCCACAGTTCTCGACTTCAGGCGTGCGTAAGGCTCACTTTGGTAAACAAGCGTAACAAATAGATAACGTAGGGTCAGAAACGCTTTACAAAAACAAAACCATTGCTGGAGCCCACACTGAGGTGGTGCTAAATCGTTTTCGGACGACACAAGTGCGTCGAAAGCAAGCAAAACATGGACCCCGCGTCACGGCAACGGGAGAGTGCAAGCCGGCCGCTGAAGCAGGCCAACGCACCTGCAAGTTCGTCTGGTGCTGCTCAATGATCTTATTCTTGAACGGCTGGAGAAGAGACTCTTCGGAGGGCAGCTCCAGTGGCATCTCCTCCTCCTGCGTACGCACGCACGCACGACCAATGCAGCACAAGGGGGAACGCACACGCTGGTAAATAAGCCCATCAGGTTCTAAGGACCGGGACAGTTGATGGCAAACAGAAGGATTGTACATGCTCGTGTGCAGCCCCTTTTGTCAATCCACTGCTGGATGGCTGCTGCAGCTCTCCTTACTATTAAAACTATCCCTCCCTTTATTACTGCTAATCCTACTTCCTCCCTTTATTACTGCTAATCCTACTTCCTCCCTATATTACTGCTAATCCTACATAATACACGAGCATAATATGACTTTGAGACCCCCCCCCCCCCACCACCTACACATTCCACAAGTAGTGACTAATCCCATCTCTGCATTTTCCATAAATATGCAAAATGTATCTGTTGATATGCAAATTCCTTTGTCAAGGCGCTCTCCTCCTCTAACCCAGCTTAAATAGACGCTGCCAAGCTTGGTGGTGTTCATTCTGTCGCTGTCTTTCCGACAGACCTGTTCTTCACCTGAGGACGGCTGCTTGCGTTGTGGCCGAAACGTCGTGAGAATTGTATTTTATTATGTTTTATTATTATTTTATTATTTCCCTTCTACGTGACTTTACCGAAAGAACCAAGGAGATGAATCCCCCACACCGTGCATGTCGTGGGGGTTATATGACCATACTTCACCGTGCAGGCAAGTGCCGAGTGAAGGTCGGGGAGCGCGCACGTTTTGGAGAACTGAAGTACCTCTCGCATCACGACTTCCCACTCTGATACTTCTCCCCTCGCTCTACTCCCCTCCGTACACTCTCCTACCTCTCCCCTCTCGTCTCACGCTACTTCAGCTCCACACAGTTTCTGCTTCAAGTAGCCTTGGCATTCGCCGGAAGCCCCCAGTCAACATTCGCTCTAGGGGAGGTCGCTCACTCTCCTCTGTTACCCCCATATTCTGGGACTCCCTTCCCCCCAGCCACCCATGCTGTCAGCTCCCTGCTCACGTTCAGGCTCATGGACTTCCTTTTATTATTTTCTGCCGATGACAATTTACAAAACATGCACAATGTTTAAATGCCTCGTTAGGTGCTGTCGCTTAGATGTTCAATTGTGTAGTAGTTTCATTGATAGGTGCCTGGTTAGTGGTTCGATTTCGTTTGTCATTTTGTTGTTTCGTTTAATTGCTTAATAATATCATGTCAATGTTTTTGTCTCTTCCTGAATGAAGAATTGTTAATGTGTATTTGTCAATGAGTGTCAATGTTATTTTCTAATCGTCAGCGAGCGATTGTCAATGTTAATGTTTATCCGTCAATGTTTCGCGACTGTCACATGCCATCCCCTCTGCCCGGGGGATGCTCAATCAACCACTCGCCAGGATGAGAGAGGGCAGCCGTCGATGACGTGGCTGAGGGGCCTCCTTTTCCCCCGCCTCGTCCATATTGACGTCGTCCTCCGGTTCAGGCTCTGCCACGGCGGTGGCGGCAGTGGTGGAAGCGAGCGGTGCCGATTGTCGCTCCTCCCCGCCCTGCTCCACCCCCAGCTCCTTCACCCTGCGTGCGGGCAACACAGACGAGAACGAAGTGCAGACCGCCTTGACACAGCAGCCCTCCCAATACCGATGACTCATTCCACCCCTAGGATTTGTGTGGCGTGTGTATGTGTAGTGACTGGGAAGGTCACTGTGTGGTGCCGGGGCCTGCGAGGTCACGGTGGGATGTCTACTGTTGTGTGTAAACCCCGGAAACGGGGTGTAGTACCAGCCCTAGTGGGGGCTTGGGTGAGCGCTGGTTAAGCGCGGTGGCACCACGCACAGCGTACGGCACGGGCTCCCGTTGAGAGAGAGCGTCAGCCAGCTGGGGCTACGTTGGAGGCATGATACTCTGGCTGACCTGGGGACATGTGACCGGATCATACTGGAGGGGGGCCACCGGTGGAGGGGGCCAATGGGTGGTCACATGGTCTGGAAAGAACTCTCGAGAGCCTTCGGGCAAGGGGGCGAGAGAGATCGAGAAGGTGGGCGGGGCGAGAGGCGGAGCCAGCCCCAGCCCGGCCCGGGGTTCTTACTGTTGGAGAGGCAGGAGATCCACGTCAAGCTTGAAGAAGCCTCTAGCCACGCGGTCCGGGACCCAGCTTGTGGTTGGGACCGGCATAGTGGGACCGTGTCTAGTTCCGCCCTAGCGTGGTTAGTTGGGTGGTCACCACCCGTGGCTGTGTTGTGTTAATAGCCCTGGAGTATGTTGTGTAAATAGTTAATAAACGTGTTGCTCCCAAGACAACGTCTGCGACTCGGTTATACTCGCTACAAATGTACACGTGTACGTGTGTGTGTATGTGCATAACCTTATGTGTGTATGTGCATAACCTTATGGCGAGAGGTAGTGTGGTGTTTAGCGCGCTGCGCTACGAACTTGGAGAACCGAGTTGGAGTCCCGCTCACGGCCACCAACACCAGTTACGATTATCTCAACCGGTCCTGGGCCTCCCCCTAGGTCGACTCAGCCTCAAATGAGTACCTGGTGCGATGCGTAAATATCGCCACGAGGGAGACAAAGGCAGCCGGGCAGTGCTGGCCACCCTGCCATGCCGGTTTTCATAGGCGCTTGCTAACAGCACTTGTCCCTACCGTCTGACAGGGCTATATGGGGGATCTTTGTCTTTGTCTCCATAACCTTATGGGGGATCTTTGTGGCAGTGCAGTGCTACAAACTCGGCAACCTGAGTTTGATTCCCTCTCACGACCAATAATGGTGGCAAATATTTTAACCAATTCTGGGCCTCCCCCCTAGGTCGACTCAGCCTCAAATGAGTACCCGGTGCGGCGTGTAAACGTTGCCACTTGGGAGAGAAAGGCGGCGAGGTGTGGTGCTAGCCACCCACCGCCTTCATGTGCCGGTCCCAGCCTTCAATAGGTGGTCACAAACCACACGTGCGCCCCAGCTACACCACACTCGGCACTACAATTCACACACCCCTTCCCCCGGTGATTTGCCTCACCTGTCTGCGTATCGCAGCGTGTTGTTCGTGTGGTCACAGGAGCTCATCGCAGGAGAAATCATGGCGATCTGCAGCATCCACACGCGAGCACAGCGAGAGAAGCGGGCAGTGAGTGTGTTTCTATGTGCACAAGGCGGTAGTGTGCCGGTTAGCGCGCTGCGCTGTGAACCCAGCCACTAGAGTTCGATTCCTCGCTCACGGCCAACATCAGTGACAATTATCTAAACTGGTTCTGGGCCTCACCTAGGTCGACTCGGCCTCAAATTCGTACCTGGAGCAGTTTGGAAACATTGCCACTAGGGAGACAAAGGCAGCCAGGCGTGGTGCTGGCAACCCCATTCCCTCCTGTGCCGTGCCGGCCTTCATTAGGTGCTCGCTAAAACTCATTGACTAATGGTTTCTTATTTATTTACCAGGTAAGCCCGTCTGAGCTATATAGCTCTTTTACAGAAGCCCACAAACTCAACGAAATGGCTTATCATGTCGTGGACAGAAAAACTTGACAACCCGAAGAAAAATCCACGCAACCACAGGGAGAGACGTGCAAACTCCAAATATACAACAGGCGTCGGGGTCGGGATCGAACTCACGACCTCCTGCACACCAGGCGAGAGAGTTAACATCTTGCCACCGCGGGGCCCGAGTCAACCTAGGGCAGGCCCAGGACCAGTTTAGATAATCGTCAACGGTGTTGGCCGTGAGCAGGAATCGTACTCGGGTTGCTGGGTTAGTTGCGCAGCGCGCTAACCATTGCACTACCGCTCCCCACATATGCTAAAACATGCACACACACACACACGTACCATGCAGGTGCGGGAGTTCTCCCCGATGAACGAGTCCCTCAGCACCTGGGTGAGTTTGCTGCCGCGGAATGGCGTGTGTGCCTTGTTCTGGCCCAGCGCTCGGATGCACTCCTACACATGTGCACGTCGACACGTGAACGCGCGCAGCACACGCATGTACAACAAAAACAAACGCCGCCGCCATACGCCACGAAGTGGCAGTGACGTCACCACGGCACTTGTGCCAGACTGTGCGCACTTTTAGGGCCACGTGAAGTGTCGAACGCCTGCTGGCAGGAGGTCACGGGACAAACCCAGGTGCCATGGTTTGACTAACTGAGATGACTGGCCGATGCACCACCTGTGCTCTACGACTGTGCCAACCTGCTGCATTTTAACCGTCCGGCGCTATGCTCGTTGTTGTGAGCGTCGCTCCTCTGCCTTCCGTTGTTGCTAGAGGACGTCTGCCCCCAACTGCCCAGTAGCAGCGTCCTTCACGAGCCTCTTCCACAGAAGCTAATCTTGACACCACTGCTACCAGTCATTGGCAAGTCCACTCATCCCCATATCCTCTCATACCACATCATTCCATCTCTTGTCGAGCCCGTGCCGTACCCGTTTAGCACCCTCACGCACACACACACACGTGCGCGTCCTCATGGAAACGAAGCACAGCCAACAGGCCCGTAGTGTCAGATAGGGGGGCATTCCAAGCCCCCGCCATTCTCAATATTTTGGTACAATAAAACAATTGGCATTAGTCTTTGTTCACATGCATTGCAAGTTTGAAGAGCTTGAGCAGATCGTATAATTACTCATTCTGTTTAGCGTTTACTGTTTGTTAAAAAGTATGTTTAACATTATCCGTGTCGTACCCCTCTTACATTGTGTATGCCCGCCCCCTCCACCCCCCCTTTAAACAAGGTCATGCAGTAACAGGGTTAACAGCCATGGGCAAGGACCCTTGACAATCTGTCCCGTTCATATGATAGATGACAACTTACGTTGAAATTAACATGGATTCAAAGCAATAAAGATGTAATAATGTACCTGTCAATCAACGGGACGGATAGCCTAGAAATCATTTCCAGGATTACCATTTATTTCCGTGGAGATTATAGGATGCAGTTAGCAGCCCTGCACAATGTAGGGCTTCCTTAAGACAATACCACAATTTGACCATACTGCACCACGCTGGCGAATTCAGGTAGGCGAATGTGTGGAGCATAGATGCGAGAGCCTAGGAGGTACAGCGCAACAATGGACTTTGCTGCGCCGTCCCCCCCCCCCCCCCCCCCCCCGATACCCATGATGTGGCCTCTCAAAAACCCAACGACACCTATTTTATACATTTTGGTCACCCATCCCAACATTGTCCAGGCTCAAACCGGATTGGCTTCCAACATCTGATATCAAGTGCATTCTGGGCGATTAAGCCATAGACTGAGTGTGACATTGGAGCGAAAATCGTACTCTAGCCAATGGCGCTGCTCAGAGGTCGCAAACGGGTTTTGATTCCTTACCCGTACCCGTACCCGGCCGCACCAGGGTCGCAAATGGGTACCCGTACCCGGGTACCCGTACCCGGCCGGGTACCCGTTCCCTACCCGTTCCCTACCCGTTCCCTACCCGTTCCCTACCCGTTCCCTACCCGTTCCCTACCCGTTCCCTACCCGTACCCTACCCGTACCCTACCCGTACCCTACCCGAAATGAGTGACAAATGGTTACTCACCAGTGACTCACGGCCTACCCGTACCCGGCCGCACCAGGGTCGCAAACGGCTACCCGTACCCGTACCCAGCTGGGTACGGGTAGCCGGGTATAGGGTAGGGTACGGGTATCGGGTACCCGGTTGCGACCTCTGGTGCTGCTACAGTTGTAGTTACGTTTGAGGAGGGCCCGTCCATAGTGGGGTGCGGGGCCCAGGGTAAATATCACACCGCGTGGGGCCGCCCAAGGCCTTAAAACTAAATTATCACATCCGACACTGTGATGTCACAAGTACGTGGCCCCCCACCCCCCAAAGCGCTGGGCACGGGACGGTCATCCCGATTCGCCGTACCCCTAAGGGATGGCGCTGCAATTGGTCCCCAGGTCTCTGCACCGCACTGGTGGAGAGATGGCCAAGCGGTATGGCGTTTGCTGCAGCTGTTGACAGTTCGAATGTAGCGGCCGCCCTGCTTAATACCGCAGGTGTATGAATCGTAAAAATACAAGCAGTCTGCTTCGCAGCGGACGTTAAAGATCCGGCGACGTCATGTGCACGAGCAGGCCCATTGTGGTCCACATTTGCTAAATTTGCAAACGTACCCGCAAATAACTCAACTGGGATTACACCGGGGGACCGGCGACCAAATTAACAAGTGGCATTTTTTTTCGAATTCGTAAAGAAACCTAAATATTTCAAGAGCTTGAATTGCATGCGAATACAAGACACTGCCGAATAAACAATATCACGAAGCAGTCCTTAAAAGAACCGCATGCCACTCCGTAGCCGCAGGTTACCCCCTAGATTATGAATAACAATCATCAGTATGTGGGGGGGGGACTGCAAAAAGAACACTTGGCAGTACTGTCCTGGAAGCAAGTCACGAGACTCAGCGAGGGTTTGCTGGGCAAAACAATTCAATACAAACCTTCAGCGCCAGCAGGCTCTTGTTGATCTCGGCGCCCTCACGGCACATTTGCAGGTCGGAGTTGCCCGTGTCGGCGCCGCGCTCGCTACCGGCGAGGTCCACGAGCGAGAACTTGCCGTGCAGAAGCTCGCCGCGCCTCAGTATCAGCTGGAAGATGGCGTGCGAGCGCGACGACGTCGCGTTGGCCGATGTCTGGCCTGACGTCCTGTGCGCGTGTCACACGGGTTCCGCCCGCATTAGCAAACCTAGAGGTCTGTGCGCTATGGTGACCCTTTCCCATTCCAAAACCGCCTGCAAGTTGCAGGGTGGGGCCCATTCACTGCCGAATCTCGAAACGCACGAGCGGCTCGTACTCGCCGGAGAGAACTGTAGCGACACGACCACCACACTCTATGATAGCTGGTGCCAGACTGTGCCACACGCCCTCCCCCGCATGGCCTTGTGGCAGCCTCGGTAACGATTAAGTTACTTTATTTTAGTTTTGATGATGTACACGTACGTCATCAGAACTCAATCGGAAGCAAAACTTACGATGTCCATGTGCGGAACGGGAAAGGGTTAAGTTGTGTACACGCGTATTTATACGGATGTGCAGGTATTCCTTGCTTTACGGCGTAAAGCAAAATGTTGTAAATCAGAATGTTTTTTTATGGATGCGTTTCAGGACAGTCATTCCAACTCTACTCCTAACCTAAAAAAATTCATACCTATATCACTTTTCACAATACAAAAGATAATAATACAAAACAAAGATTCAAACAATTGGATACAAATTAATTAAATTAAAGTATAATTTTTTTTATTTAAAGCTTTCGTGACTGCAGAGATTCATATTCTTGGTTCTTTCGGTAAAGTCACGTAGAAGGGAAATAATAAAATAATATTTATATAAAACAATAAAAAAAATTCTCACGACGTTTCGACTGCAACACAAGCAATCATCATCAGGTGTGAAATCCACAGCAAGAACATTTTCTCGTTCTTTATTTATATTATTTTATTATTTCCCTTCTACGTGACTTTACCGAAAGAACCAAGAATATGAAAGTAGTATTATTATTACCGAATTTTTGGTTTTATACATGTGTGGTGGTCAAGGTTGACACAGGTTACACAATCTAGGGGAGGGGTACGTACCGGTCAGGACTGGTCCGGACCGGTCGGGCCGAGAGGCGGTTGGAACCGCTCTGAGGGGAGGGGGCCGGCGAGAGCCGGGGCCCCGAGACACCCCCGCCCCTCAGAGAGGGGATATATAAGACGGCTCCCGGAGAGCGGGAGCCAGTCCATCTCATCTAAAGCTGAAGGAGGTGCCGCCGGAGATCCTGTACCCCAAGCCCGAGGATGCTGCCCCGCCGGGACTGAGTGGGCTGAGGGTGGCGTCAAGCGTCCCCGGGCTGAGTAGCCGTAGGCTAGGGAAGGAGAGTAGTTGGAATAGAGTGGAGGCTGTACCTCCCTAGGTTGTGTGGTCAGGCTATTTCCCCAGTGCGTCAGGATGTCTAGCTGTTATTGAAATAAAAGCGTGTGGCCTCTAAAGGAAGTCTCCGTCTCCTTCAAGATACTACACATGTGCGTGCGTGCTGACCTGCACTTGCTCCCAGTCTCAATGAGGGCGAGCACCTCTTCGCTGGAGGAGACGGGGCACTCGCTAAGCCCCACCACCTGCACTTGCTGCTTGCTATCTTCCAGTACTCGCAGGGCCGCCCGCTTATTCAGCAAATCGAACACCTGCATTCCAGTCGCACGGTGACAAAAAACCCCCACCACCTCATGGCCTTGACAGACTTTTTGGGGCAAGTGCTGTTATAGGCGAGCACCCTACCTTTGCCGGCACGGTACACGTGGTGGTGGGTGCGACATTATAATGCATTATAATAAGGTTGCACTCAGTACACACGAAGTGCTTGGCCACCAATAAACCACAATACCTTCCTGATCTCGGCAAGGAGCATAAATAATCGCGCTAACCTCCGGTCATCCTCACAGCAGCGGTTTTTGGCGAGCCATCGAACAAAGACGGTCGCCGCATCGTGCGCTTTCAGAGGCGCTCCTGAAGCCATCGTTAATGCTTTTCCTTTGGATATTATGAAGCCACTTTTAAACCTAGGATTGAAAACTCATTTCTTTAGAACTGCTTTTTGCGTTAAATTTGCGGTCCCTCCCCCGCACCTCCGATTAGCACGGTTGGCTACATATAGTGCGAAAGAAGTTAAACATACATAATCATGCTCGACCATCTTTGTCTCCCCAGTGGCAACGTTTACACACCACACCAGGTATTCACTTGAGGCTGTCGACCCTAGGGGAGACCCAGGACTGGTTCGGATAATCGTCACTGGCGTTGGCCGTGAACGGGGATCGAACTCGAGTTGCCGGGTTCGTAGCGCGGCACGCTAACCGCGACACTGCTGCTCCCCGCACACCCCAATGGCATTCGGGTAAGGAACCCAGAGCCCATGGGCTGTACCTGGTTCACATTTATTTCATACAGCCGGCGGTTTGCGCACCGCGCTTTGAACCTGGCGACCTGAATTCCCATTCCCAGCCACGGCTGACATCAGTGGCGAGTTCATGTCCGAACCGGTCCTGGGAAGCCCATTCACCAACAACACGCATTGACCAGCATGCTGAAGTTAAGTTATAAACAAACCACCCCTATTTCAGAGGTTGAGAAAATACTATAAATTACATCGCATTCCATTCACACACACATCTGCACACACCTGCATTCCATTCATTCACACGCTCACACTCATTACACGCGCACGTCCTCACCTTCCCGCTGTAGATCTCAAAGAAGGTGGCGTACACATGCAGATTCAGATGTCTGTAGTGCTTGTTTCCCTGCAGGTCAAACACATCCCGTGCTAGGCAGGATGGGGGAGGGAGGGAGGGGTGAGAAAGTCAAAGAAAATGATAAATTACAACTATCATCATTATTTCTATGGGACCCTTATGCCAGTATCAAGATATTGAATGATTTAATTTCTAGTTTTAACTATTCTTGACCATCGGTAATCATCCCTCCCAGACATACATTGTCTTGCCCAAGCACTCTTACTTTACTTGGGTGACCACCATGCACACATGGGTTATTATAAGGCTATGAGGGCTAAATGCTGTGCAGCAGACGGCAGTCAAGCAAACCAAGTGTTGCCCTGTATTTTTATGCTCTCACGTCTATGCACCCCACCTTAAACAACACGCACTTATCAGCGGGGGAGAAGGATGTTCCAATAATGCTCGCGGCTGGCATCTCGCCTCCTTTGATAACTGTCACTAATCGCCAGCATTCTATTCGAGGATTTCAAAGTTGCTTGCTCAGCTTTCTAACTAGAGCAGAAGTTTCCATGAGACACACCCAACACCAGGACTCAAGCTCAAGATCCCAGGGATGCTGGCTCGGTGATATGAAGTGGACATTGCCATCAAACCACTCGGCCACCTCCAGTAATAATGTTGACTATGCCAAAACAGAGCTTTAAAATTATACAGACAATTGCACACCCCCCCCGCCTAACACCCCCCGCCCCCCCCCAAACTCAACAGATGGCACGGAATGTCTCGGCACATTTCCTCCCTAACCCCACAGTTACTGGGTACAGTCGAGTGTGCAGTGACATCACTCACTTGCCATGGCGTAGATACCCTTGGTGCAATCCTGCGAGCGACCGTTGAAATTTCCACCCATGGTCTGCAAATAAGAAACAAAGAAAAATATACCCCCTACCATCATCGCCATTCTCAAAAGATCCCTTCGCCTCCGGGAAGTTTTCCCGGTCGCCCCCTTTAAACGCCGCCGAAACTACGTTTGCACACTAAATAAAAACTCGGCGGCGCTAGGCGAACTGAGAAAAAAAACAACTTTAAACGCTGACTTCGGTCAAGCACAAGCACGCCGAACGCACGAGGTGAAGCAACCTTTCTGTGCGCACTGCTCACCGCGCCGGTCACGTGACGCCAAGCACCCAATGATTATTATATGTACTCTGGGTGATTTGGCCATAGGAGGGTGTTAAGACACAGACCGCGAAACGATCGCCTCTTGTGGAGTTGAGAATCTTCGGTTTTACTGGTAGGAACCTCCTGGTTACACCAGCCCACAGGGGATTATTGTGTCCGTCCATCCGTCGTGCATCCACAAATGGGAGGGGTGGGGCTGGGTGGAGAGGGGAGGGTGGGGAGGGGCTGGGTGGGGAGGGTAGGGCTGGTTGGGGGGGTGGGGCTGGTCACCCCATAGTGCCCTTAAACGTTTAACCTACTCACGCCGGCTTGTGCCCGCCCTCACAGTCGGCCATATTTGCGGAATACACCACGCCGTCGTTGACCCTGCAGGCCATTGACCGAGCAACCCAACGTTCCTACCAGCTCCCTCCACAGGAATGTGTTAGTAGTGCACTCCCGTTTCCCAGGAGGTTAACGGGCCGCGACTCCGTCGCAAGAACTGCTCCACCGCCAACGACGAAGGGCGGCCGCGCGTTGGCCTAGAAACTCACGTGGGTTTTGCCGCTTCCCGTCTGTCCATAAGCGAAGCACGTGGCCATGCCCTTGTTGAAGATTGTCTGCACCAATGGGTAGGCGGTGAATCTAAACAAAGAAACAGATCCCCCGTGTAGCCTTAACAGACTGTAGGGGCAAGTGCTGTTAGCGAGCACCTATAAAAGCCGACACAGCACACGCAGCGGTGGCCAGCACCACGCTCGGCCGCCTTCGAATCCACAGGGGAGGCCCAGGACGGGTTCAGATATGTCACTGGAGTTGGCCAGGAGTGGGAATTAAACTCGGGACGTCGGGTTTGTAGCGCAGCACGCTAGCCGTCACGCTACTGTTAGCGAGCACCTAACACGCACACACACGGGGTGGCAGCAAGTAACCACACGCACAGGCACACAGACACACGTGACACATGCATGTGAGCAATTGCAAGGACGCAATTATTCATCACCCACCCTCACTTGATGCAGTGCTCTTGCCACATCTAATTTAAAATCCACAATCATCATCAGGTGGATTTGACACTGGATGATGATTGCTTGTGTTGCAGTCGAAACGTCGTGAGAATTTTTGTTTAATAATTTTATTATTTTATTATTTCCCTTCTACGTGACTTTACCGAAAGAACCAAGAATATGAATCCCTGCAGTCACGAAAGCTTTAAATCGAAATTTAAGACTACCACAGTTGTATAATGTACAACCCTTTTATCAATGCACTGCTGATTGAAGGAAGAGTGTTCAGATGAGGCAATGGCTCAATGGGGTGGTGGGTGAAGGGAGTGGGGGGGGGTAGTGGGAGGGGCGGCGGTGGCAGCGACGGTGGCAGTGACCCAGCCGCGCCGTCTCACTTGTAGACGACTTCGTTGGAGGCAGACTCGTCGAAGGCGTAGTCGAAGCGGAACGTCTGGTTCTCCAGGTACTTGGTGAGGTCAACCTTGTGTTTGGGCTCGTGGACCATGAGCACCTCGTGGCTGGGCACCGTCACCACATCAATCTCCTTCTGCGCCAGCTCTGGGTCACGCGTGCGCAGACACCAGCAACGGGATCGTCGTCCGATTCGCAATTGAGTTTCGGGTCGCATCGGGCAAGTAAAAATGAGTGTCGTAAGCAATCCACAGAATTGAATTAATCGTTAAGATTGTTGCAAATTGCTCGACAGCACACCGGAATTGCCGAAGCAGTAAGAGACTGGCAACGCTTGCTCACGTTACAACTAATCTAAATTGGGTGTGCTGGGTGGTGGAGGGTGTACGATACACATTTACTTACATTATTTGGACCGAATTTTTTTTATCATATTGGTCGCAAAATGCCTAGGCATTAAATTTCAGCCATCATCATCATCGTAAAACCGATTCTAGAAATCTTTGTCAATAGCTCTTGCATGCGGTCTTAGCAGGGGTGGGAGGTTCCTATGTATTGTTTCGGTATGTGTCTGCAAATGAGTCTTGAAATGCTACACAATAAACATTCAACTAGATTGCAAACTCATTTCTTTAGCACTGCTTTGTTTAAATCGTTGTCCTTTCCCCACACCTCTGATGGCACGATTGGCTACTAAAGATGCAAAAGAAGTTCAACATGCATGCAATTATTCCTGCGATAACACAGGGGCATCATCAGTCGTGAGTGCAGACAGCTGAGGTTTGTCTACAGGACAAATCGTGGAATCACTTGTGTAATCCCCGTTACACTTCAAAACTCACTACATAGCCTCCCACCCCCGCTCGCCGCCCCTTCCCCCCTCCCTCCCACCCCCCCCCCTCCCACCCACGCGCCCCCCCCTCCCACCCACGCGCCCCCCCCTCCCACCCACGCACCCCCCCCCTCCCACCCACGCGCCCCCCCCTCCCACCAACGCCCCCCCCCCTCCCACCCACGCACCCCCCCCCACCCACCCACGCACCCCCCCCCACCCACCCACGCACCCCCCCCCACCCACCCACGCACCCCCCCCCCCACCCACCCACGCACCCCCCCTCCCACCCACCCACGCACCCCCCCTCCCACCCACCCACGCACCCCCCCCCCTTACGAGTACCTTTTTTGTTGAGTGGGCGCTTTCTGACGCAGACGCAGATCTTTCGCTCCTCCACCTGAATAGAGAGAGCCAAGGTCCGCCACAGCATAAACTCAGAGTGCTGAATGAACGGAACTTTTATTGTACCAGGCGAGGCCCACCGAGCTATAGAGCTTTTCTCATAAGCGAATTGCCCACAAATGATAGCCGAACGAAGCGGCTTATCGCCACGTGGAAATGTGTAGCAGCCAAATACTCTAAACGCACGTTTATAAATGGAGAGAAAAACCAAAGAAAAATCCATGTGTCCAAGGAGAGAACATGCAAACGCCAAATATACAGGCGCCGGGGGGGGGGGGGGGGGGGCTTCAAGAACCTGGTCAGAGATGGAGAGCGGATGGAAGTCGAGGTTGGCACGGTATTCCTGGATCATCTTCAGGAACTCCCAGTGAGGACCATTCGCTGCTCCCTGTGTTTTCAATGAACACGGCACATGCAGGACATCACATGCAACATGAGCACGTGGCACAGGCTTGCAAGTGGCTATTGTTAGTGTTTGTTCCACAACCTCTCGGATACTTGCACGTTGAACTTCCTTCACACCGTACGTAGCCAACCATGCTAATCGTAGGTGCGGGGGGGGGGAAAAGAAAAAACTAAACACAAAAAGCAGTTGTAAACAAAATCGTTTTCAAACGAGATTATTTAAAAGGAGGAGCGTTCCAGACGGCCGCAGAAGCAGATCCGAAAGTGCACGATGCGGTGACCGTCACGTGATGGTTTATTGCTCCTTCAAGTTCAAGTTTCATTTATTAGTTATAGCCCTGTGAGCCACCATTCGGCTCTTGAATCGGGTGCAACCGCAACAAACAAACAAGAACAAACATGAACAAGAAAACATCTCGTCCTTGACGAGAGATCAGCAAGGTCATTGTGGTTCGTTTGTGGCAAGCGCTTTTTGTGCGACTAGTGCGACCTTACAAACCCGCAAGCGGCGATCGCGAGGGCCCTGCTGTTGATTCTGGAACGCCCGCTCGGTCCGGATCCGACTCGCCTTGTCCGTCTCCGGCATGTAAGTGGTTCGTCTGCGCCCTGCTGCTGCTATATGGTCATCAGTCAAGGTAAAGGGGGTCACGGAAGGGTCAGAGGAGTGGGTCGGTGAAAATACAACTCTTAATGCGTTTGAGATATACAACACCAGGATTAACACTCCTATCGTTTTTTGTATAATTTCATAATAAAGTTATTTACAAATGTGTTGTAACCCTCCACCACCCGACACGGCCAATCGGCAAAAAAGTGTCACGTTGACAAAAGACAAATAGTTCACTACTTTAGCCCACCGGTGTGTTGAAGAGTGAATCCACAACATTTACAATTGTTGAGTACGACGTTTCGCTGGTAATTGCATCATCGGGTAATTTGCCAGAATTATGGCAAATTGCCTGTCGTACTCAAAAATTGTAAATGTTGTGGATTCACTCTTCAACGTGACACTTTTTTGCTGATTGGCCGTGTTGGGTGGTGGAGGGTTACGACACATTTATATATAACGCGATCTAACCCAAAAAACTACTTTATTATGAATATTATTTGTCGCGAAAGCCTCCGTGTTTTTGTACAATTTGTTGTAATGTTCCGACCCCTTGCCTCTACTACTCGACATCTGTGAACAAGAGTTTTATAGCTCATCGGATTCCTCCGGTATAAATGTTCCGATTCTAACATCGGTATGCTGAAGGAGCAACGAATTCGCACGATTTGTTCACGTGGCAAACCATACTAATGGTCTGTGTTGGCAGGAGGTGGGTTTTACACGACAGTTACATTGACGTGATATAATCCAAAAAATCAAAAATCATGAATAAGACCGGTATCTGTACTTTATATTTCATTTGTAGCTGTGTTAGTCATGTAATGTAAAAAAAAACACCCCACCATACAATATCACAATACCACAAGTAGCAGAGATGCAGTCACAGTGAAAGCATCTGGCCCAGTGATGCTGTGGCAGGGCCCTCAACAATTATATTCATAGGTTTTTTCGGTAAAGTCACGTGACTTTACCAAAAAAACCTAAGAATATGAATCCTTGCAGTCACGAAAGCTTCAAATCTACTCTCAACAATTCCCAGTTGGGGGAATCGCCCAAGTCCCTCTCGTGTCGATGACATGCAGTACAGATGTGTGGATGCATGCATGCTGAACTTCTTTCACACCGTACATAGCCAATCGTGCTATTCGAAGGTGCGGGAGAAGGCCGACAAGCCAAACACAAAAAGCAGTTCTAAGGAAATGAATTTACAATCTAGATTTAAAAGTGTGAAGCTCCAGTGGCTTCCAGATGGCAACATAAAGCACATCTGAAAGCGTGCGATGCAGTGACCCGTCTTTGTTCGATAGCTCGCCAAAAGCCGCTACGACGAAGACCGGAGCTCGTGATGCTTTATGCCCCTTTACGAGATCAGCAAGGTATTGTGGTTAATTTGTGGCAATCACTTTGTGTGTAATGAGTGCAACCTTATAATGTACAGGGTAGTACTCGACTTACGATGGAGATGCGTTACGACGACCCCCATCGCAAGTCGAAAATATCGTAAGTCGAAGATGGCCTAGCCTACCCAGGAGTCTTAAAGAACGGTGATAATTTAGCAAAACAGAGCAATTTACAGTACCGTACTGTATAAAGTATACACTGTACGTATTTATTAATTACAATACTGTATTGCACAGTCAAATGTAAAGTAAAAAAACAAGGTAAATTCTTAGCCTACCTATGTGAACTGCAATTTAAATGGAAAGTTTTTTTAGGAAACAATCCGATCTGCTATAAAAACTTTTAACATGCATTGAACGTATCGTATCGTGGTAACCCCAAATGAAATCGCTAAAGCTACGTATCATAGTGTAGTGTATAGTGTAGTGTGTAGTGTAATAGTGTAGTGTATAGTGTAATAGTGTAGTGTATAGTGTAGTGTAATAATGTAGTGTATAGTGTACTGTATAGTGTAGTGTATACATGCATTGAACGTATCGTAACGTATCATATTGTACTGTACTCACCAAGATTCTGTCCTTCGTCTGCGCACTCGAACGATGTTAGGTTGTTGATGGCAATTTTCCTATCGCTATCGCCATCTCGCAAGATCGAAATATCGTAAGTCGGAGCGTCGTAATTCGGGGACTACCTGTATTCGTTCGGCAACAGGAAGCCAATGCAGCTTGGCGAACACATGACGGACGACAAACAGGGACTTCTGAGGTATCGGTGCTTTGCGCAGGAGACTGAGGCATGACAGAGTTGGCATTGGCCCTGGTGCAGAGAACGAAACTAGGCCGCCTGTCCAATTTCCCCCACCTTCATAGACCGATTGGCACCTGGGGCCCCCTATGGCCCCGTGAGTCTCGGGTGCAGATACACTGCTCACGCGCTCGGATAGCTACCGCAACCAGCAAAGGAGTTTCTATCAAGTCACTTTGCATGTGGGAGGGAACCCGAGCGCGCAGAGGAAATTCATGTACACAAGAAGACAACGCTCGGAAACAAATCTCCACCCTATTAGGTGCACTTTCTCCTGCAAGCCACCCCGTGGCAGGGCAAGACGAGCATCGTGCACGTGCAATGACATGTGTCAAGGGGGATCGCAACCAACCGCACCACGGGTTGAACGACGCGACACGACTCTACACCACACGCGGCGATGAACCGAACCTGCATTGCCTGTAGTGGTGGTGGTGGTCGTGGTGGTGGAGGCAGCGGCGGCGCCATCGTGGGCAGCGGGCAACGCCGGGGCTGGGTGTTCGGGGAGGGCGCCCAGTTGTAGGGTGCTGGTGGTGGAGTCGGAATGAGCTCGTGGAACTGGAAGTCGGCTCACCACTGACACAACGCAGACACACGTGGGCCAATGACACACACACACACATACAAATACGATGACAACACCCGCCGCCATTCGCCATCAAGTGGCGGTGACGTCACCACGGTGCCTATGCCAGGCCAGCTGCACTTTGAGGCCATGTGAAGTGCCAAAAACTTGCTGACGGGTGGTCACGGGACAGACCCAGGTGCAATGGGTTGATTGAGATGACAAGCAGATGCACCGGCTGTGCAAACTTGCTGCAATTTTAGCTCAAATAAAGTTACAAAACACACATACAAACACTTGGCATCATTATGCACACATCCACTCATGCAGGTATTATGAGAAACAACACGCATATACACCTATGTGAACACGCATAGGGGCTCATGGACGCACACAAATCCATTAAACACGCACACAAATATAAGCACACAGGTCCTTGACACACCACACACCCATGTTGTCATGGATATATGTGTACACAGCCATAATGCAGACACGCGCGTACGTGTGGTCACAAGGCTAAACCGAACTGGCTTGTCCCAGGATAGATTCTGATACCAAGCGTCACTGCCGGGAGGGTGAGGAAGAATTGAATTTGGTTTGCCAAGATCACAGCACAACAGCAGCCACTGAACCCTCCACCTGCTCCCCAAGGCAATGCATGAACACACACACACGATGGCTCAACTCTGAACGAAACAGGTTAAAAAATACAACCAAATTTGGATAAACATGTGCGGAATCATTGTTTTTACCTTTTAGACTGACATGGCCATCTTAAGACACTCGGACTCCAGACTGAAAAGCTAACCTCTCCAAAAGGTGCTGGGCGCTGCCGTGTCTTTCAATACAGGAACTCCTCTACTTACAAACGAGTTACGTTCCAGAGGTCTGTTCGTAAGCCGATTTCGCTCGTAAGTCCAAATTTACTGTCAATTCCAAACATGTTGTACGGCCTGTACACAAAACGCGGGGAATCGTTTTAAAGTTTGCATAATCTCCTCTAGATGTAGATGCCACTGGTTATTCATGTTCTGCAGATGGAGATGCCACCACCGCCACCTATTGCGCGGCGGTTGAACTTACAACTTCTCGGTCCGAACAGGTAACTGGACATACGGACAGGTTCGTTCGTAGCTCTGAAAGTTCGCAAGTCGAATGTTCATAAGTAGAGGAGTCTTTGATTTAAAGCTTTCGTGACTGCAGGGATTCATATTCTTGGTTCTTTCGGTAAAGTCACGTAGAAGGGAAAGAACCAATAATATAGAGGAGTCCCTGTACGCACAGACTACCTTCACTGAAACAGCACCTGGGCTTGGGGACTCATTGTCCTGATACTGGCATCAGCACCCCCCCACCCCAAGTGGCAGTCCGTCCACTACCACAGCAGCTCTTCAATAATCTACAATGTCAGCGGCGCAGCACGACTGACATGGGTCCTGGTACAAGGAATGAAACGGGGTCTCCTGTTTTCCATTCCCCCCCCCCCCCACCTCTTTTTCCTCCAGCATTGGGCTCCCCCGACAGATGCACTGGCCTGTTTACTCACTCCACTGCTAGCTCCACTGACGTCCATGGTGCTGCATGGTGCAGCGCTCCGACATAGCATCCCGCGAGAGCCACCCAACCAACACCAATCATTTATTTTCTTAAAGAATTTCCCTCTTGCCCGAGCTTAACAAAGGACCTCGGGGGGCACTTGACGACGGGGCCAACGTAAGCAGCTTGAGAGCAGCTCCAAAACCAAGCGTCCCTCAAAAAACACAAGCAGCTGGGCGAGGCTTTAGCCCTGGCCGCCTGCCCGCCATACTCCAAAATTCAAAGCCTCGTATCGGACGGAAACACAGCGAGGATGTGTCGGAGCACCGAGGTTCTCCCTGTGCCTCACACCTACCGCCGCTCCCCGGCCCACAGCCCTACACAGAAGGAGCGGCCAACTCAAGCGAAACACTCAGGGGGCCACTTGTGGCCTGCCCGGGCACGCTGCAACGCCACTGTCCGCAACACTCGCAACTTCGGTGGCGCAGCCACGAGGAGCGGTTCACTTTCAGGAAAGGGGTGGGTGGGGATTGTGGGTCACGTTCACATTTTAAATCTTAATTTTTACATATGTGCCCCTTAGCTTATCCGCAACTCAACCGACATTCCTGCAAATTGGATTTTCAGTTTTCGGACTCATCAAAACCACTCGGAAAAGACAACCATTCACTCCTACTCCAGCTAAATGTGTTTGTAACATCATAATTTTAACATGTTTGTCTCTGGTGTCTAGAATGTGTGAAATTAAGCTTGAAATGCACAAGCTCAATTATATCCACATTTAGATTACAGGTTTTCCAATACCACTTTTGAACATGAATTCATCAGTAGAATCACCAATGAAAATAACCTATTCCCATTGTTTTACTTCTATGTACTCTAAGTCTAATCATCAACATCTGAATTGATGTCTTCCTCGTGCGACTGAATACCACTCCAATGCCTCTCAGTAGCCTGCCCTCCCCCCCTCCATCCTGTATGCATGTTCCCCCCACCGCAACCTCCTATTCCCAATCACAACTACAAGACTTTCTTATCACGTTTCATACCGAACCTCCCAAAAGTTGCCTTTATCATGACAATCATGGGCCATGGCAATAATATTAACGTGGCAGATGCGTCTATTCCAGTTGGTCTCTTCAAGTTCTCTTGGCATGTGCAGTAACATACATTACACCCCTGCCCCAAACACCTGTCTCTCAACGTTAAAGTTCACTGCTCTATCCTTCAAAAACGGGATGCGTAGTTTATCAAAAAACACACTTTGCTAACAAAATAAGATCTCAACTTCCATCGAAATGCTACCCAGACCCACAAAGTCTCCATTACTTGTCTCGGTAACCTGCTCTCCCGTATGCATGGACAAACGTTGAACTTATTTCGCACCGTATGTAGCTAACCGTGCTAAATCGGAGGGACGGGGGAAGGACAACTAAACACAAAAAAGCAGTTTTAAAGAAATTTGTTTTAAATCTAGCATTTTAAAGTGCATAGGTCCGGTGGCTTCCTAATGTCAGAAGGAAGAGCGTTCCGGATAGCCACAGAAGCGCATTTGGATGCGGTGACCGACTTTGTTCTATGTCTAGCCAAAAGCCACCGCAAGGATGACCAGAGTTTGCGTCATGGTTTATGCTCTGTGACGAGATCAGCAAGGTATTGTGATTATTCCTGGTTGCATCGAGTATGCTGCCCCTGCCTGCCATGTCGTTCTCTGGCGCAATGTCTTACAGTCACTCCTTTGAGGCAGAGGCTCTTGCTTCAGCCCGACGACGCTGTTCCCGACCTGGGAGTGGAAGACAAGCAACACATTCCTTCAGAGTGGGCAGGTAGGAACTTGGTTGGACAGCGCATTCGTGCGATCCGTGTCACGCGGCGCAAGCTGCGTTGGGCGACGCGTCACGTGGTGCTGAGCCCGCCCGAAGCACTCTATGAAATACAAATCGAGGGCGTGGCTATGCACGACAGACAGACAAATAATCCCTGGTGGGCAGTGTGGAACTGTTGTTCCTACCTGTAAAAAAGATAGTTCATACATTGTGCAGTGGGCAGCTGTGTGGCAACATCTATTGCTGTACAGTGGCATCCATGCGCCCCACGTCAATGCACCCCACCACCTTCACTAACCCAGAAAGGCGAGCGTGGTGAATTCACGTCAAAAACCACCACCGTGACCCAAAAGGCACTGGGGGAGGCAGTCATCCAGCAGTGGATAGACAAATGGGCTGCATGTATTCGTGAGAGAACAGTTGCGTGCCGATGCGATGTTGCAGGACTGTGTGGGATGGTCGATGGCATGGGAGGGACTTTTTATGATGACGACATGAAACCTTTAATAACCACTGAAAGATGACCAACTGTACTTTTAAATGTAATTAAATAAACTAATTCAGAGTGTATCCCTCAATCAAATGATCCCTTTGGGGCCAATAAAACTAGTACTTGGAATTAGTCAACAGCATCTTGTAATTGCGGTCAAAACGGAATAGTTTTTTTAAATCCTTTATATTAAGTTCACTTGTTTGCTTGCTTGCTTGCGCGCTTACGACCGTGCAAATCTTTCGGTCGTTTTTTAACCCACTTCCCGTGATCCAATCGAGCTGACATTTTGCACACAGACTCGTTGTGCGTGACAATTAATGTTCGTGAAAAAATATTTCCAAAATTTTCCACTTTTTAGGAGAAAAAAAATTTCATATTAAATTTAAAATACCAATGTGATAAAAATGAAACTCTTACTCAAGAAAAACAGAAATGAATAATAAAATAAAACCGATGCCACGCATATAAAGGAATTAGTGAAAAACTTAGTTTTTACGGGTTAATTTTTTTACGGACCCTATTAAATCGAATATGTGACCAATGATCGGCCCTACAGCTCTCCGATGTATTCTGGTTGAACACCGTCTTGTTCGGCAGGACGCCTGATAATTATTTGCACCTCCGATTAGCACGGTTGGCTACGTACGGTGCGAAAGAAGTTAAACATACATACGCTACAGTAGATGCCCCTCTTAACGACGGTAATTGGCTCCACAAAACCGATCGTTAAGCGATATGGTCATTAAGCGAGTAAAGGAAATGCACATTAAAGGCTTAATTCGTTCTGATAGCATCGAAAGTTACCCTTTTTCACCCAAATAACTTACTTTAAAATATTTAAACAATGGATATTAATTAAAACATAAATATACTAACAACACATAATCTTAAAAAGACACGTGGTTAATCAATCCATTAATTCATATTTACTGTACCTACAACAGCCCGTCATTGACAAGAGGAATGGTCGGTCAGTGAACACATTGGGTTCGATGGAGGCCCGTCGTTACGTGATTAGTCATTAAAGAGGAGTTCTACGGTATATTCGGGGATTGAATAGAATTAAATTGCTAAAGATGCACCCCGGCCGTGGAACAAAACGTCAGACAAATGTAGAACCCCACGCTGCAACCCGAAAACACTTCGGCGAGTTACAACACAGCACACATATGCAGAGACCTACCAGGAATGATTGCCCTTCGGGAGAAATCCGGACCCAACAGTTCAGGACCACCAACAGAAAGACGTCACCATTCACCGTTCATTTTAGGAGGTGACTTTCAGCTACGTATTATTCCACGAAAATCGATCATGCTGCACTTGGCAATTTCAATTCGCCATTCGTGATCTGAATTGAGAACACCGAAATTCCTTACCGAGCAGTCGGACCCACGCATGACACGTGCGTTTGCAACCGAGGGCGTCGGTCGTAACTTCACGGGAACGGCGGGTCGCGCAGGGGGAGGCATCAGGTCCGAGTCCTTCAGAGCCAGCTTGGGGTTCAGCCGGTATATATCTTGGAGAGAGAACTTGCACGCACATGGAGACGGACGGATACACGCCCATCGTTACGCACAGGCACATTTCAGCACAATCATCCACCAATGTATGTATCTAGAACTTTTTTCGCACCGTGCATAGTGAACTGTTCTAATCGGAGGTGCAGGGGAAGGAAAATTAACCCGTAAAAACAAAGTTTTTCACTATAAATCCTTTATATGCGTGGCGGCTAGAGTCCTCTCGTCCTCTGGCTTGAGATGGCTGCCACCTATAGGTCAGATGATTGCCTGCCACCATTAAGCAATTGGTAATTAAATATAATTTATTTTTTCCTAAAAAGTGTGACATTTTGGAAAAAAAAATTCACGAAAATAAATTGTCACGCACAACGAGTATGTGTGCAAAATGTCAACTCAATTGGATCACGGGAAGTGGGTTAAAAAACGACCAAAAGATTTGCACGGTCGTAAGCGCGCAAGCAAGCAAGTGAACTTAATATAAAGGATTTAAAAATAAACTAAACACCAAAAGCACACAAGGGGGAAGCCAAGGAAGAAGTTTACAAATATGGAGCGATTTGGAGACGGGGGGGGGGGTATCCCCATGCAGGAGGAGGACAATGCGAGCCAGGAAGATTGTAGGAAGACGGGAACCAAGAAAACGGTGAAAGGGTTGGACATAGAAGACAAGGTGATGCTGAAAATCCAGAGATTAGTCAACGGGAGAGATGGAGAGGATGAGACATGGAGGGGAACTTGACACGGCGGAAAAGGAGCGACAAAATTAGAAAAGGACATGAACGAGATGCAGGAGCGCACAGGAGGCTGGGAGCAGAGGAGAGAAATAGACAAACAAACCAAGAAAATAAATCACAAGGATAAAAAATTAAGTCCGAGACAGATAGAAGATGGGGACACAGAAGGAGATCCGGGTGTAGAAAAAGTATAAACAGCAGGACGCGAGACCAGTACAATGTTGGAAGACAAGGCCATGCCGTTGCTCACCTCCTTGCAGCGGCCTTGATTATCCAAATCCATCCACTCCATCTTCACGATATTGTGGATCGCATCTATCCCCATCACGGTGGCCTCATGCACACGGCCTACAACAGGAGACGGGACACGGCAACGCCGTCGAGTTCCAAATACGCGGTCCTTTCAATCAAAGCAAAGCAGTTGAACACGTAGGCTTTCGCAAACCAATATTATCCAGAGGGCTTTTTTTGGGCTTAGATGGCGTAAATATAAATGTGTCGTTAAACCTGCCCACCACCCAACACAGCCAATTAGTAAGGTTTGCCACGTAAACAAAACATGCCTATCCCGTTACTAGTACAGCATACAGGTGTGTTGGAGAGTAAAGCCACAACATTTACAACTAGAGTATGACGTTTCGCCAGTAATTACAACAAACTTGATAATTGTATTTTTACCCTTTTATCTGGCAACAAAACTGACACCTTTTTTTGTTACAAGGAGTCATGTTTGCATTGACCACAATACCTGTGGTCGGAATGCAAACAAAAAACACAACTCTGATGATGTATGCACTGTCCTTGAAATTGATTGGTCCACACCCGAGACAGCTTTTCTTAGAGCCTAGTCTCACATGGTGTTAGACCAGATGACGCCAAAAGGCGCACAACTCAAAGACAATGCACCATCCAGAGTATTCCAACCGCAGGTAGTGGCCAATGCAAACATGACTCCTTGTAAAAAAGGTGTCAGTTTTCTTGCTAGATAAAAGGGTAAAAAGACAATTATCATATTTTGCTACTGGCAATGGAGGTTCCAATGGTACAACTTCACCAGATGTGGAGAAATCCTCTTGTTTCGTTCTTAAATAAAGGGATAAATGTGATATCAATGCCAGCTAAGGAAGATGCACAACAAAACATATCGATTGGGTCCTTAAGACAATAGACCAAGCTGGACTCAAAGAAAAGTATCCAATAGATTCCACAAGAGTGGCCTGTGGGGTGGTATTTAGGTAGCAGGCTGGCAGATCCGTCTCCGATAGGGCCTCTAAACCAATACATTTGACGAACAAACCAGTCTCTGATGAAGTTTAAAGCAAATTATTTGCCGATGCTGTGTTGGCAGTGGTGCACAAGCACCCAACAAAATTCACATTCATCAACAGTCTTAAAAGTAAAAAAACATAATAGGTGATATTTCAGGTAACGAGCCTTCTTCATAGAACACAAACTCAATATGTTAACGTGCTATGAAGATGGTCCATTGCCCAAAATGTCACCTTTCCCATTTTTAAATCCTTTATATTAAGTTCGCTTGCTTGCTTACGACCGTGCAAATCTTTCGGTCGTTTTTTAACCCACTTCCCGTGATCCAATCGAGCTGACATTTTCCACACAGACTCGTTGTGCGTGACAATTAATGTTCGTGAAAATTTTTTTTCCAAAATTTTACACTTTTTAGGACAAATATTATATTTAATTACCAATTGTTTAATGGTGCAATGCAATCATCTGACCCATAGGTGGCAGCTATCTCAAGCCAGAGGACGATAGGACTCTAGCCGCCACGCATATAAAGGATTTATAGTGAAAAACTTTGTTTTTACGGGTTATACTTGTTATATGGTGCTATTGACGAATGTGCAGAGTTTCTAGTTTATAACATTCACAAATCTGGCTCCGATGGAGTCTATAGACCAGCAGCTCTTAACCTTTACTGCAGCCTTGTACCCCATTTGGTTCTCCGTTGTAATAAAATGTCTGTTAATAAACACGTAGGCTTTCGCGACCAATATTATTCATAATATAGGGTTTGGGTCAGAAAATGCTGTTGATTCTCTCTTCAGCACACCGGTGGGCTAAAGAAGTGAATTATTTTGTCCTTTGAAAAACGTGACATTTTTTACTGTTTGGCCGTGTCGGGTGGTGGAGGGTTACGACACATTTATAAATAACGCGATCTGACCCAAAAACCTATATTATGATTACAGTAATCCCTCGCCACTTCGCGGTTCAAGTTTGGCGGCCTCAGTGCATCGCGGATTTTTCGAACTGATTTAAAGGCCTCATTATACATGTGCAGTAACACCATCATCATCATCATTCATCATCACATTCATCGAACTGCACAGGTCTGTCATCGTCGTCATTGTCATCGTCATTGTCATCGTCGTCGTCATTACTGGAGTCAAGTCTCAAGATATTACTGTCATTGGCGAGTGTAGAACACCATAATATGTATCGTATGAGAGAGAGAGAGAGAGAATGTATAATATTAAGGTTTTATAATTAAATAGATTTAAGTAAAATATATATATAAAGTATAAATATACATATTTTAAACATTCTGGTACCCACACACACACATACGGAAATTCCTAGGGGGCCAATCCTACTTCGCGGATTTTCACCCATCGCGAGGGGTTCCGGTCCCCATTAACCGCGATAAACGAGGGATCACTGTACATGTGTTTTATGAAGCAAATTAGTACTTGCGTGCCTGTGCTTAATTTGCGTTTCGATTATTTACCTTCAACAAAAATCTGGCCATGTCTCACACCCCCAAAAAGGGCATCTCACACCCCCAGGGATGTGTGGACCCCAGGTTAAGAAACCACAGCACGAGACATTAGACTCCGACGATTGTCCCGCACCTCCAATTAGCACGATTGGCTAATATACGGTGCGAAAGAAGTTCAACATACATACATAGACAGACAAACGGGTCCCATGGTGAGAATTTAAGTATCACATTGTGAAACTGGCAAAGCGGCAAGAGTTCCCAATGGATTCTTCGTCTTAGGATACCAAAAGCGGGACAAGATTTGGTGGGGAAAAAAAAGTCAATAGATTTCACAGCAGGTTTACTGCTGCTGTGGCAGCAACAATGCCACGAATCGGACAGTAGAGAGATTACCGGCACATCAAAAAGGGAGGCCTTCAAAGATGACGCCGCATGAGCAGCCACTCTAAGGACCCCCAAAAGGAACGCAGCCATGGAGACGGCACGAGCGATGCCGCTTCGTGTCACCGCGACCGTGGCTTTGCCCGCCTCAGGTCCCTTAATGCGAAGGTTTGTATTGGGCGAAAACAACATGGACGATTTTATTTTTTTTAATCATTATTGTACATTCGTCTCGCCGAGCAAGGGCGACAGCCGCTTCATCAGCAGCGCGGAGGGACGGACCCAAGTCCACCGTCGGAGTCGTAGGTCAGGGCATAGTCGTCGACAAAATGCGTTGCGGTCTGTCGCTGACCACGTCCGCAGAGTGAGTTGTTGTGGTCTAAACATAAAACGAGACTATGTATTGTTTTACCAGGTAAGGCCCACAGAGCTCTTTTTCAGGAAGCGACCTGGCCACATATGATAGTAAAAAAAGTGGCTGATGTTGAAATGTATAGTGGCCAAATGCCCTAAGACGCATGTTAATTATAAATCTGGAAGTAAAAACTAGAGGACCCGAATAAAAATCCACAAGACCACGGGGAGAACATGCAAACTCTAAATACATAGGAGTCGGGGTCAGGATCGAACCCACGACCTCCAGTACACCAGGCGAGGTAGTTAACATCTCATACAACCATCATGCAGTCAATTACTCCAGAACACATTTTACAAAGTGCGGATTGAATGGGTGATATTTAATTTTACTTTCATTATTATTAACTTTAATAAGTAATAATTGATACAAGAATAATTTATTGTCGGTAAATTAAATGAGAAAAAATGTAACGAGCAACAAATAATCATGATATATATTTTTTGCAAAATAAACGATACGATTCTTGCGACTCTTACAGTGTGATATGCCGTAGTTTCACCACATTCTGGGCAATGTTGGTTATCACGGTAAATTATTATGGTATATTTTACACCTTTAGGCGAGCGTTTTGTGTTGGATGAAGCAAGTATTTTATATGGTATTAAGACAAAGTTGTTATTCCAGACGAGACCAGGGTTTTCTGCGGTTAAATCCCAGCCAGGGTTAACTCCGTTCATCATCAACAATGTTCGGAGCCCCACCTGGTAGCGATAAGTCACCACTTTACAGGGTTGCTCTATTGAATTATCAAGTGACAATGCCCCCATCAAGGTAATGTGGCGTTTCCTCCACACCGATGCAAGAAAGTGAGCATCAGCTGCTGTGTCCATGTAAAATGAGAAAAAGCAGTCCATGCCATAAGTGTGGGATTCCTAACACGGAGCTAGAGAACAGCACTGCACTCGAATGAGCATGGTGATAGTTTTTTTTCCTCTGTTATCTCACTTTAAACCGGCAATTAGTCCACAGATTTGCCGGCCAAATATGTTGCTACGGCCACATTCAATATTTTAAATCGGCAACAACAATGGCCGTTCAAAAACAACTTACCCCTCCGGTCTTGATCGTGGCTCCGTTTGTCCATCGAAAGCAACAATGAGGACAATGTACTTATGAACTTTTTTTGCACCGTACGTAGCCAAGTTCGCGCTCTTCCTTAACGGAAACTTCACCACTGTGTGCAAGAGCGCTGGTGAAGACGGTGAAGGCTTGAAGACGGTCTTAGCTTGGTGCATCTGTTCTGTGGTCAATAACGGCAGACTGCCTCAAGTTTCCATGGGCAACCCCAGTTATGTAATTCTGCTCCCGACGGAGATGTAGACTCAGAGGGGCTCGCACGCCAGAAGCCAAGCAGTGCTTTGTGAACACCGGTGGGTGCAGTGGTTAGGAGGCACACGTGCGCCGTGAACCCACCAGACCCAAATTCGATCCCAGGGAATGGCTAACATTGGTGAAAAGTGATGTCTAAAGCAGTAGTACGACACGCTTGCTACTACCCACCCGACCTCACCAACATGCCTCGACTAGCAAGGAGTATTCGGCTGCTATACATTTCGACAATGGTAAGTCACTTCGTTGATTTATCATGCGGCCAGTTCGTGTCTGAAAAAATTAACCCGTAAAAACAAAGTTTTTCAATATAAATCCTTTATATGCGTGGCATCGGTTTTATTTTATTGTTCATTTCTGTTTTTCTTGAGTAAGAGTTTCATTTTATCACATTGGTATTTTTAATTAAATATGAAATTTTCTTTTTTCCTAAAAAGTGTCACGCACAACGAGTCTGTGTGCAAAATGTCAGCT